CTCCTCACCCAGCAGCACGAAACAGCAGAGGGCTCCGCCATATCCCGCTCTGACCACGCCCCCCCACACAGCGTCACAACCCAGAGACCTGGGAGTCCAAGGCTCCCCTTCTCGTACTTAATGGGTGAGAACAGACCAAAAATGGCTCAAGAAGATCTCAAAGCCCCAGAGCCTATAAATCTAAGCGATGAAGAAATAGCAAAACTCTCAGACCCACAGTTTAAAACGCTGGTGATCAGGATCCTCACAGAAATGGTTGATTATAGCCACAAATTAGACAAATATATGAAGGTGAAACTAATTGAAATGAATGGAATTGCACAGGAAACCAATAGCGATGAAAAAGAAACTGGGACTCAAATCAATGGAGTGGACCAGAAGAAAGAAAGAAATGACCAAACAAAAAAGAATGAAGAAACAAGGATTCAAAAAAAGGAGGAGAGGCTTAGGAACCTCCAGGACATCTTTAAACACTCCAACATCCGAATTATAGGGGTACCAGAAGGGGAAAAGGAACAGCCACCAGTGGAAAACTTATTTGAACAAATAATAAAGGAAAATTTCCCCAATCTGGCAAAGGAGATAGACTTCCAGGAAATCCAGGAAGCTCAGAGAGTCCCAAAGAAGTTGGACCCAAGAAGGAACACACCAAGGCACATCATCATTACATTAGCCAAGATTAAAATGAAGGAGAGAATCCTAGAAGCAGCAAGAGCTAAGGGGACAGTCACCTACGAAGGAGTTCCCATCACACTGTCAGCTGATTTCTCAAAATAGACCTTACAGGCAAGAAGGGGCTGAAAAGAGGTATTCCAAATCATGAAATCCAAAGACCTACAACCAAGATTGCTCTATCCAGCAAAACTTTCATTTAGAATGGAAGGACAGATAAAGTGCTTCTCAGATAAGATCAAATTCAAGGAGTTCATCATCACCAAGCCCTTATTATATGAAATGTTAAAGGGACTTACCTAAGAAGAAGAAGTTAAAAAAACAGTGAAAGGACAGCAAACTCACAGTTATTAACAACCACACCTAAAACAAAAGCAAACTAAAAGGACAGCTAGATCAGGAGTGGAAACATAGTAATGAAGATCTCAAGGAGGGTTAGCAACAGGGGAGTGGGGGAAGGAGTAGGGGGGAGAAGGTACAGAAAATAAGTAGTATAGACCGTAGATAGAAAATAGATGGGGGGGGCAAGAATAGTATGGGAAATATAGAATCTAAAGAACTTGAGACATGTGGTCATAAACTAAAGGGGTAATGGTGGGGACGTGGGGGTAGGGTGAAGGGGAATGAAGGGGGGAATAGAACAAGTGTAATGGCATAATCAATAAAGAAATAAATTAATAAAAAAATAAAAAAACAAAAAATCACATTACATATAAATGTAAAAGTTTTTGTCAATTTTAATAGTGCATGAAAAAGAAAAACCCATAAAGAACCATTATTGTAGTAACATCTTTTTAGTCTCCTGCTATGCATATTTTAAATGATCAAATGCTTTTTGAAGAGGTAGTATCAATTTTGACCACCTGTTTATTACAGAAGCAGTGTTAGACATTACTTTCTATTTCAGAACAGCAGTCTCTGTAGAGACTATCATTAGAAGAGCTGTGACCTTTATTAAGCTAAAGCAGTTGTCTAAATGGATTCAGAAAGTACCAATGAGCTATTCAAAGATGCTAAGATCTGCAAAAATACAATGAATGATTAAGTCTCTCCTATATCCTCAATAAAATGGCTTAAGATGATAAACTGATAACCAAGCATTTCTATTTGTTTTAGGACATAATATACTTTCAAAAAGATTTTATTTATTTATCTTTAGAGAGGGAGAAAGGGCGGGGAGAGAGGAAGAGAAGCATTGATCGGTTGCCTCTCACTGGCTCCCATTAAGGACCTGGCCCACAACCCAGGCATATGCCCTGACTGGGAATCAAACCAGTGACCTTTATTTTTGAGGGAAGACACCCAACCCACTGAGCCACACTGGTCAGGGCAGGACATAATATACTTTCTAGATCTATGGATGATACTAAGTAATAACCCTGTTTAAATATCCATAGGGTATTTTATTTTGGCAAAGATCGGTCCTAAAAATCATAAAACCAGATAGAATAATGTAGGTCATGGCTCTTTCACTGTCCTGGTGTTCAAGTTGTTATAAAGATACATACTTGAAATGCAACCAAATATCCCAACATTTATATCAGATGTATATAGGTGTTGTCAGAAAGATCTTTCTCTGTTAGCCAAGAGAAACCATCCAAATTTTGTTCTGTAACCACTGACATGACGTAACTCTAATACATGGTATTACTATTTCTATTGCAGCAAATTCTAGTTTTCTCAAGGCCCTTTTTTTTAAAAATAATTTTTTTTAGATTTTATTTATCTTTAGAGAGGAAGGGAAGGAGAGAAATATCAATGTATGGCTTCCTCTCGTGAGTCCCCTGCTGGGAACCGGCCTGCAACCCAGGCATGTGCCCTGACTTGAAATCGGACTGCGATCGTCTGGTTCACAGGCTTGCACTCAACTCACTGAGCTACACCAGCCAGGGCCTCTGACTTTTTTTGAAATACCGTATTTCCAAATTTTAAAATGTTTTCCTCATAGGACTTCCAGCCAAGATGGAGGTGTAGGTGGAAATACTGTACCTTCTTGCACAACCACATTTAAGGACAATGATTTAGATACAAAACCACAACCAGAACAGACAGAATATTGAACTGTACAAAAGTCTGAAAACGAACCATTCCTCTGGACTGGTAGGAGGGGCAGAGTTGGTGGCCTGTGGAGAGGGGTAGCAGCAGAAAAAAGCGGTGGTTGGCAGACCCTGGCAAACCCCAGGCAGACCCCAGGTTGAGGGGTGGCAAAGGGAAGACACAGTGAGGCACACAAAACGGATGGCTGACTTCGGTCACACATTCCCGTGCAGATAAACCAGGCCAAAACAGGAAGCGAGACAGATGGTGCAACCCAGGGCCCCAGTGCCGGGAAATAAAGCCTGAAAGCACTGATTGAAAACACTTGTGGGGGCTGAGGTGCCAGGAGAGACTCCCAGCCTCACAGGAGAGTTTGTTGGAGACCCAGAGGGTCCTAGAATGTGCACAAGCCCACCCACCTGGGAATCAGCACCAGAAGGGCCCAATTTGCTGTGGGAAGCAGCAGCGCGAGTAGAGCAAGCACCATTGTTCTCTCTGACCCCACCCCCACATATAGCATCACAACCCAGCAACTGGGTTGCCCCGCCCTAGAGAACATCTAAGGTTACATATGCCCCTCATATGTAACAGGTGTGACCAGACTAAAATATTATGGCTCAAATGGAAGAACAGATCAAAGCCCTAGAGCCGATACTTTTAAGCAACCAAGAGATAGCCAAACTATCAGATACACCGTTCAAAACACTCATGATCCGGATGCTCACAGAACTGGTTGATTTTGGTGGCAAATTAGATGAAAAAATGAAGGCTACACTAAGTGAAATGAAAGAAAATGCACAGGGAACCAACAGTGATGGAAAGAAAACTGGGACTCAAATCAAGGGAGTGGACCAGAAGAAATGACCAAACAGAAAAGAATGAAGAAACAAGAATTCAAAAAAATGAGGAGAGGCTTAGGAACCTCCAGGACATCTTTAAATGTTCCACCATCAGAATTATAGGGGTACCAGAAGGGAAAGAGGAAGAGCAACAAACTGAAAACTTATTTGAACAAATAATAAAGAACTTCCCCAGTCTGGCAAAGGAAATAGTCTTCCAGGAAGTCCAGGAAGCTCAGAGAGTACCAAAGAAGTTGGACCCAAGGAGGAACACACCAAGGCACATCATAATTACATTAGCCAAGATTAAAATGGAGAAAGTCTAGAAGCAGCAAGAGATAAGGGGACAGTTGACTACAAAGGAGTTCCCATCAGACTATCAGCTGATTTCTCAAGAGACCTTACAGGTAAGAAGGGGCTGGAAAGAAGTATTTGAAGTTATGATGCAAGGACCCACATCCAAGACTGCTCTATTCAGCAAAGCTTTCATTTAGAATGGAAGGGCAGATAAAGTGCTTCTCAGATAAGGTCAAATTCAAGGAGTTCATCATCACCAAGCCCTTATTCTATGAAATGTTAAAGGGATTTATCTAAGAAGATAAAAAATATGAACAGTAAAATGACAGCAAATTCATAGTTCCTAACAACCGTATTCGAAACAAAAACAAAAGCAAACTAAGCAAACAACTAGAACAGGAACAGAATCACAGGAAGGGAGATCACATGGAGGGTTAGCAATGGGAGGAGGAGAGGGGGGAAAAGATACAGAGAATAAGTAGCATGGACAGTGGTGAGAAATAGTGGGAGGGCAAGAGTAGTGTAGGAAATGTAGAAGCTAAAAAACTTATGACACATGGTCATGAACTAAAGGGGTGGAATGTGGGGGGGAGGGGGTGTGCAGGGGGAGGGGAATGAAGGGGGAAATGGGACAACTGTAATGGCATAATTGATAAAATATATTTTAAAAGTTTCCCTCATAAATATATATACTAGACTGGTATATTCACATATATGCTTTTTCATTTTCAGGCTTAGCAACAGCATGCATTTATTAAAGGCATGCATTAATACAGGTATGCATCTGTATTAATGTTATTTTTGAAAATTTTATATTATTTTAATTGTTCAGTAGTTTTCTTTTACTACCATCCCAGTCCACCCTCCCAGCCCTCCTCACCTCTTTCCCATTTCCACCCCACTGCTAGTTTTTGTCCATGTGGCCTTTATACATGTTCCTGTAAACCCTTCCCCCTTTTCTCTGAAATTCCCTCCCCTCTGGTCCCTGCCAGCCTGTTCTCTATTTCAGTGTCTTTGGTTATATTTTGCTTGTTTGTTTGTTTTGTTGTTTAGCTTCCTGTTAAAGGTTGTATTAACATTATTACAGCAAAAGACAATCCAAGCTAATATCAAAAGAAATTGACCCTTCCATGAAGTGTTTGATATAGAAAACACTGATTTTGAAATATCTTTTTTATTCAAATACCATTCTCATCATTCATGGTCCAAGAACATTCAAATAATAAACCAAAAAGAAATAGATGTCAAAGATTGATCTTCAAACATTATAGCCAATGATGCCACGCTTGCCTATGATCTCGCCGACGTAAAACCACATCCACACCTCAGTGGCCACCAAACCATTCAGCACAGCTTCCTGAAAAAGAAGCAGCATAAAATTTAAGGTACTTTACTAATCTTTTTCAGGATTAACTGACAGAAAATATAAGGATGTTATTAAAGTTAGAGGGTAGTTTTAGTCAAAGTTGAGAAATACTGGTGTTAACTTTCTTCAATTGAGAACCCCTGAAATTTCGATTATGTAAAAGTAAGTAGTTTAGAGCTTATAAATTATTTTTTTAAAGAATTTATTTATTTTTAGAGAGAGGAGGAGGGAGAAAGAGGGAGAAACACCCATGTGTTGTTGCCTCTTGCGTACTGGGAACCTGGCTCACAACCCAGGCATGTGTCCTGACTGGGAATCAAACCTTTGACCCTTTGGTTCACAGGCCAGCACTTGGTCCACTGAACTGTACCAGCCAGGATGAGCTTATAAATTCTTTCAAAGCATTCTTTAAAGATCTCAACTGACTTAACACTTATGTTTTTAGTTTATAAGACACTTTATGAGCCCCCAAACCCACATCCTAAAAATAGCTGATACTTTTAGACAGGGCATTCATATGAAAGGATGGCTATGAAAAGGCAAGTCTCTGTATTCTCCTTTAGACATCATTTTTTATTTACTATTTGCCTTAATTTGTATCCAGTAATTATTCAGTTTCAAAGATCAATGTTTTACTGCCCTGAAAAGTACATCTATGGTTCCAGAAAACAGCGTCACGTGCAAGTGCAAATATGAATCTTGAAACTCCAGTTGAAAAAAAGAAACTTTCCACAACAAAATTGAGCCTTTACCTTATAGCACCTGGAAATGAATTTCCTCCTTCAAATTAAATCAGACATATTGGAAGTTTTCTGAAAAAAATTAACCATCTTTTCCAGCATGTGGATTCTTAAGCCAGCAATAATTTATTTATTATATTTACTGATTTTAGAGAGAGAGAAGAAGGAGGAGGGATAGAGGGCAGAGAGGGAGGGTGGGAGAGAGAGAGAGAGAGAGACAGAATGATTTGTTGTTCTACTTATCTATGTATTCAATGGCTCTGATTCCTCTATGTGCCCTAACTGGGGATTGAACCTGTAATCTTGGTATATTGGGAAGATACTCCAACCAAGTTACCTGGCCAGAACATGAAATCAGCAATAATTTAGTTATATAGGGTTTTTTAATCCTATGCTTTGTTCATGCAAGCAAACATAAAATACAAGCTCCAAGTCTTTAGATTTTATCTTCACACAATTCAATAACCCTTCATTTCATACTATATGGTTGCTAGGTTTTGATATTTTTATCCTTCATATGAATGTTAGCTGCCTAACTATAATGTATTACAAGAGATCTTTTGACCAAATTTGGAATGGTTCCAGGACTAGAAATGAAAAAAGGTATAGAATCAGCAAAAGTAAGACATCCTATCTCATTTATTTATTTTTAGAGATAAGGGAAGGGAGGGAGTAAGAGAGGGAGACAAACATCTATGTGTGAGAGAAACATCCATCAGTTGCCTCTTGCATGCCAATCGGGGACCTGGCCCACAACTCAGGCATGTGTCCTGACTGATAACTAAACCTCAGTTTGAAGGAGGATGTCCAACCCACTGAGCCATACCAGTTAAAGCCATCCTATTTTAGTATACTAAATAAAATAGGAAGGGGAAAAAAACGTTGCCCCGTAAATGCTCACTTTTTTGTTATAAAAACACGGAAAAGTAAGATATATTATAGCCCAATCTCTTGACAGTCAAGAAAGAGATTCTCTCTCATTATGTTAGTTTCAGCCTCACTGGAAAATGCATACAGTAATCAAAACAATCAGAAAAATCCTAAAGACATTTTCTTTTATGCATACGTTTTCATTTAGCACATAGTTACCTTAACTGTGAGCTGTTTGAAGCTACCAGTTTGAGCACTACTGACTATTTTTTTCAAGCTCTGTATAGCTGTTGGGATCTCAGCAGGGGTTGGAGGAATCAGCTCAACCTTGGCATAGTGCCAAAATGTGGCCAGTCGAGGTTTTGAGTAAGTCACAGCAGCTGGAAAACAAAACAAAACAGGATGAACTCACTAGCAACTGAAAGAAGCAGATGTGTGGGCTGGACACAAATATTTATTTATGCATCACATTCATTCACTACTTATATGAAATGTGCAGCCACTGTGAGAAGCCTAAGCAGCTCCTGGTAATAAAAGACTTAAGGTAAACATCAATGTGTGGTTGCTTCTTGTGCACCCACTACTGGGGGACCCGACCTCCAACTCATGCACGTACCCTGACTGGGAATGGAACTGATGACCCTTTGATTGCAGACTGGCATTCAAGCCATTGACCCACACCAACCAGGGAATAAAAGGCTTTTAAAGATGCAGAACATCTGTGCCCCTGTGCCCCAGGGAAGTCCAGTTAGGCAAGATACTATAAGTATATTCAATTATGCCAGGACTTCACTAGTGGGCAGCTAGTACTATTACTTTATTTATGAATGAAAAATCTACTTAACTGTAGTTACTAGAAGCTGGATTCAAAAACAAGAAAATAGCAGCAATGTAATACTTCCTTGGTGGTGTTATAGAAAATTTGGAGGAAGAGGTACAGTAGGGGAGGGATGGAGCTATATAGAATGGCATCCTACAGAAAAGATTAAAATTGTCACCATATTGGTCACAAATCCAGATGAAATTATAATTAGTACCCATTTTTGCATTTTCATCATTGTGTGCTGGATTAAATCTTTCTTTAACAAAAGCACAGCTGACCCTCCAAAATATCTAAAACAATAAAAATAAAACCTATATGTATCGTTAAGAGCAGCTGAAACTAGAATCTATTACTAAGCTGAAATTCCTCGAGAAAAAAAGATTTTAAACAACCAGTGTAGATGTGAGAGTATGGCAGTAATTTCAGCAAGGGAAAGTCATTTTATTTTTTAAAAAAATTACAAGACAAATGTAATAAAAGCACAAATGCATGAGCATCCATAAAGTGTCTATTGTTCAAAAGTAGATCAGAGGCTTTTCATACTTTTCCTGTTACTGACTGCCTGTTGTTTACTCTTAGAATTATTACTGCCCTCATCCTTTGTGCTTAGGACTATAGGTAAATCTTTAGGCAGATACGAAGCGTTAAGAGATATTTCTCTAAATAGAATTATGAATCCTAAAGATGGGGCTATCAAAAAGTACAAAATCTGTGTAACTCTCTTTAAAATTTAAACTCTAATACACAGATATTTTGTCTCTTAAAAAAATCAGTATACTGTACACAAACACTATACTTTAGGTGATAAATTACTGGTAGGAAAGAAAAGAAGCAAGAATAAATACTGTGGTACTGGGTTAGAGCTAGAGACATTCATATGAACTCATGTTTAGTTTAATACATGTATACAGATGGATACAGAAATTTATATGTATGCAGGTATACACATGGCTTAGTGTGTACACACACAATTCTGTTCACTAGGAGGGCCTAGCAGCAATGATACAATAGTCTAGCAGCAAAGAATATATCCAGTGCCTAGATTTTACAAAATACCATTGTCCAATAAAAGGAACTATGGCTTCTTGGAGAAATGGCTGAGTCTAAGGAAGGGAAAATAAAAGATGAGTCTGAAGCATCTTACAGTACCAACAAGTAAAGGGGACATATCAAAGGATAGAGGTGCCAAACTGAAAAAGTTCTCAATGGCCAAGGCAGCAACAATTTGAGCAAGAAAATAAATAACATACTACTGGAGGTATGAAGTATGAAATAAGTGTACATGAGTCCATATAATAAGTGACTGAACAAATAAATGGGGAAGAGACATCTCTCATAGAAAAATTCCATTTAAAGGTATGTAGCTATTCACTCTTTCTAGAAGATGGAAACCCTGCAGATGACTGCTGCTACTCCTCTCCCCACCCCCTACATCACGGGCTAGACTTAGTTACTTGCTTCTAAAGAACAGAATATGGAAAGGGAAATGTAGTAACTTTACAGTGAAGAAACCTAGGGAACATTACCTTAACAAAATGATGAAAGCTAATTTCACCAGTGACATTATATGGACATCACATACGTCTTGATATGTGATTAGAGCACTTCACTTCTGTGGTATTCTTAAAACCCATAGCTCCAGACTAATCATGAAAAAAACACCAGACAAATGTAGATTGGGGAATATCTGTTTAGGATACCTAAACAAATACTTACAAAGATACCTTAAAACTGTCAAGGTCATGAAAGGTAAGGAAAGATTGGAAAACTATCAAACTCTAGAGGAGCTAGGCCACAGGTGGCAAACACAAGGCCCACGGCGGAATCCAGCCCTCTACCTTGTTTTATCCAGCCTGGCACCTTGTTTCTACCCAGCAGCAGAGCTCTTGCTTAACTGTTAAGGAGTGCTTACATTTATACAGTCCTAAAATTACATTCGCCCTTTGAAGGCAACCTCAAGGCTGATGTGCCCCGCCCCCCCCCGCCCCGTGAAAATGAGTTTAGACACCCCTGAGCTAGGGAGACAGGGCAACTCAATGCAATGTGAGAAAGCTTGTGTCAGTTTAACTTACCTCATACCTTGCTACCCAGCAGACAGCTGAAGTATTTAGAGCAGACTGCAACTCAGGGCTGTGACTACTCAGGGAAGTTCTGAAATACAGCGCTCTACCAATAAAACTTCAGATTTTTCAAACGGAAAACCCTATGAATTCTAATCTATAATAAGAAGGACTAACTACTGTTTACACACACCCTTTTTATGCTTACGGGGGAAGGGATGTTCGTCCCTGAAATCCAATACTATCTAAAAATCCCCTCAAAATCTGGGAGGATAGAAAGCAGAATCAACGTTCAGAAAGTCACTCAAACATAAAAACTTCTGTAGATTTGCAAATACTCTATTAACAACCAGCCGACCTGATGAGGCCGAATTTATGTCCTGTCACACATCTCTGCCCTTGCTTTCCTAGCAGAGCCGTATCCCCCTAAGGTGCTTAATGGAGGTCCCGCCGGGCTTCTAGCACACATCCCCCTGCACCGCGGCCTTCACAATCCACAGTTGCTAGGGTGCACTGAGAACCCAAGCTGCAAACCAGAAGAGTAGAAGGCCAGACAGAGGAGCCGAAGATCTACCTCCAGGTCCTCCCACCTTCAGGCCATCCCCTCCCAGCTCCCGCAGGCCCCGCGGATTTCCACAACCCGCGTCTCCTTCAGGCCGGTCACGCTGTTTACCCGCTCCGGCAGGCTGACCCGCGCTCACCATTTACCAGCACTGGAGCCTTCTCTGCGAGGTTACGGACAAATTGGGCCATGGTTGCCGGATGGAAATTCCGTGGTCCGGCGAGCCAGCTGAATGTCACCCCTCGGAAGGACCTACCGAAGGACCCCGTCCCGCTCCCAAGGTCAGGCCTTCTGTGTTTGAGCCGGTCCAAGATATTTAGGCGTCCTACTGTCTTTCCGGAATTTTACTGGTTAATTTAGTTTTTTCAGCCACAGATGGGAAAGTGAGTACGAAAGATGAGGTCAGACTACATATGGAGAAAAAAATGGGATTCCGCAGAGAAACAGGCATTTCTTGGGGCAGCCGCTCATGGAAGCTTGGAAGGCCGGCTGTTGGAGGAAAGGCGCATGCTCTCTGGACCTCCCCAGTTGGTTTTTTTTTTTTTTTTTTTCCCCTTGACTGTCAGCCTCCACTTCTGCGTAAAGTGTTTTCATGTCTGAGAATGTGGGAAGATGGGCCTGGGAGGCAGTGTTGTGCTTTTACTAGGCCGTGATCGTTTTACGAAGACATAGAGGGTCCTAAACCAAACACGTAAAGTTAGGGCAGAGCGGGCGCCACACAACCTATCCAGCTCAGCCCACTGCCTTTCTTTGGCTTTCCCAGTTTTCCCCTCATCCTGTATCAGGATGGGAACCCAATTCCTCCCTCACCAGCCACAGAAAACTATGCAAATATGAGGAACAAAGTTACATTTACTAAAGCTCCCAGTATGCCAGCAGTTTTGGAATTTAAAACATGTCCTGATTGGTGTGGCTCTGTGTGTTGGACGTCCTTTGTAAACTGAAAGGTCGCCAATTCCACGTTTGGGCACACGTCAGGGTTGGGGGCTAGGTCCCCAAATGGGGGCGGGGAGAGGCAACCGATTGGTGTTTCTCTACCTCTTTCTCCCTCCCCTTTCTCTAAAAAGAAATAAAATCTTAAAAAAAAAAAGCAAGCCTGTAAATTAGGCAGCGATCTCATTATTTAAGACCAGGTTTGAAAAATGGTCACGTAACTAGTGAATGGCAGAGATGGATCTGAAGAGGTTGTAAGGTAAACAGAGAAGTGAGAACAGTTTCAGATTAGGCATGTTGTTGACCTGGGAAGATTTCGTAAAGGAGATTCTTGAGTTGATGTGTAATAGAACAGCTATATACTACTGAGTGGAAACTTTTTGGTTAAACATGACTGGAAGAAAACATATAGTAGGGAAGTGGCATTTGTTGAGAGACACAATGATAAGTAATGTATTCTGGGGAAGCCTGAGCATAAGTAAAAGTTTTTGGTTGAGGGTATGGTTAGAGGTGGAAAGAAAAATTAGGAGTCAAGGGCAGAATTTCAGTGGAGTGATTCAGCTACACTATGCTAAAGAGAACTTAAAGGATGTTGAACTTAATTTGGCAATATGGTAATATTAGCTAGAGCAATTTCAAAAAATTAGGATAGAAGCCAGAGTGAATGAATGAGTACAACTACAAAGGAAAACAAATCAGAACACCCAAACAGGGATGTGGAAGTCAAAGGACAAATTGAAGACAGAGAAGGGGTACTGACATGATCCTTGATCAGGCACAAAAGAAAATTGGAGGGATTAGCCTTTGAATGGTGAGTCCTTTTCCACAGATGGTATAACAGGAGAAGAATCTGCAAGTGGAAATTAGAAGTCTGTATCTTTCTAGTGAAGTAGAGGCAAGGTCATCTGAGTGTGGATAAATGGGAGGGTGGGAAAGAACTTGAGGAAAGACATTAAAGTTTGGAATAGCTGTTGAAATTAAAGACATAGAAGGGTAGGCCCTGGTTAGAGTGTCCTCCCAATATGCCAAGGTTGTGGGTTCAATCCCCCATCAGGGCACATATAAGAATCAACCAATGAATGCATAAATTGAGGTTTTTCTCTCCCTTTCTCTTTCAAATCAATACAATTTAAAAAAGGTTAAAAATGAGCCCTGGCTGGTGTTACTCAGTGGACCGAGTGCCAGCCTGTGAACCAAAGGGTCACCGGTTTGAGTCCTAGTCAGGGCACATGCCTAGGTTGCAGGCCAGGTGCCCAGTAGGGGGTGCTCGAGAGGCAACTGTACATTGATATTTCTGTCCCTCTCTTTCTCCTTTCCTTCCTCTCTCTCTCTAAAAATAAATAAAAAAATTAAAAATGATTCAGAAGGGTTGTTGAGCAGTATTAGAAAACACAAGTTTGTGGTTGTATCCTAAAGATTGTGTCAATTTTTTCCAACCATGGATATTTTGGGTATTTTGGATATTGGAGAAGGGAATGGTTGGGTTAATCTAGGCCAACACCTTGCATGGCAGAGGTGGTACAGGAACAAAGAGCAAGGGGAACAAGACTGTAAAAGATTAAAATGAAAGACCCGGGTTTTAGGCCAGAGAAAGAAAAGTGAAGCCAAAAGTGAACTGATTAGGAGACTATCTTCCAAAGATAACTACAGGATCCAGAGGTTATCTGGTAAAGCAGGTTAGGTTAGCCAGGTCACAATTGATTCTCCCTAACAAAAGTGAAGGTCAGAGTCCTTTAAGTTTCCAGAGGGATTTCTGAAACTGCCACTAGCTTTTAATACTGTAATAAAAGAAGGGATAGCAAAGATTGTAAGTTAGACAATCTTTTTATTAAATACAAGCTTTGAACAAACACCCTCAGGCAGTTTGACAAGAAATAACCTTCCTGGAATGTTTCAAAATACAGTTATGCTGATTGTTTTATTTCAGTTATTTTGTTGTTATGTTCATTTTGTTCCTTAGGTTCTTTTCCTGTTTAGCAGTTAGAGCATGTGCATTATTTCCTCATGTCATCAGCATTGCAGTCTCTGGCTGGTAAAGGCACCTCAGTAAACTTATCCTGTGTAATGGCTGCTTAACAACCAGCATCAAATAAAGTAATGAAGCTTTTGTAGAGTGTGATACCAAACAGCAAATGGCACCTTTACCTACACCATTAAAAATCTTTCAAGTTTCTTTCAGGTTTTACATATCCATTAAAGAAATCCTGATTGCTTGATAAAACCCACTTAATTCCCCATGTTTAGTATTACCCTCTTAGTAAGCAATATTGAAGCAGATTAAAGAGTCTTCATTTTCCTATCACACTCCAGCAAAACCAACACATAAAATTAGGTATGTCAGAAAGCCTACTCTAATAGATTTAGAGTTGCTTGAGTTCCACATAACAAAACAGTTCTTTAAGCTTCTGGAGCACATATGCACTGTGTTGTTCCAAAATAATTTTTAGCCTCATTTTTGGGATGTTCTTAAATTACTTAGTTTCCTTACCAATAGTGGCCTTAAGCTACACACTTTTCTTTGTAATGAATTTAAAGAGATTCAGCGGCATTAATGGTGCCATAGCCACTTAGAAGTTTCAGGACAAGGGCTTAAAAAAAAAGCTTGGCAAAAAAGGCTTACAATCTGAATACCGACACAGGTACAAACATGGAGGTTGTTGACTACAAAGCTCCTGGGAACAACTGCCTTCTGAGGTTTTGTGCCTATTTTTCCTTCAATTTTCTCCCCTAAACTCTGGTCTTTTCCTTCTTTAAAAATGAAAACATCCTATTAGATTGGGTTTCAAAGATAAATGCAAGTAGGTAGAAGCTTATTTATACACAGATCATTCTTAGTAAAGGAGGACAATAAATATGATATGAAGCTTATTTTAAGGAATTAAATTAAACAAATCCTGTCGACCATGCCTTAAAAGCCCATGGAGCACACTGAATTTATATATTACATTCTGACATTTGTAAGTCTTAGACTTCCCTTTTCATTTATAAGCACAGCAATAAGCACTATCTTTATATCTAGTGTGGGATGCCCTCTGATTTGTAGTTTCCCAGCTGATACCATAAAAAACATATCAAGGGCTATTGATAGAAACTTGATATATTATATAATTGACATCTTGTTTGAAAGACAACATGGATAATAATGTCCTCTAAGTGAGGCAATGACCCCTTTCCAGATCATACCATTTTTCTTGTCACCTATGGTATCTTTGTGCTTAGAGGGACAGTGATACAGTGTATAGGGGAACATGCCTCACACTTAACATGTTAAGCTGCACATCTGAGTAGAGAACTCAAGCTCAACTTGTAAAAGTGCAGCCTACCTTACTACTAATTACACGGGGCTAAGTTGATATTTAAAATGGTTTGTGGACAAGGTTGTGCTCAAATTGCTTCTTTGTTAATTGCTGACATTAAGGCTGAGTTACAAGCAATTCTTGAATTTGTAAGCCTGAACATTAACTATATATATTTCATAATTTCATAATTTTGTCTAGAGTAAGTGTTACTGGCCACACACTGCATACATCTTACCATGGAAGAAACAATTTAAAGTGGTACTCAGTTTATACTAGACCAATCTAAAAAAGCATGTGGTGTATATATACTGAGATATACTATTGATATTAGTATCTTAAAATTACATTTTTCCTGCTTACAATATTTGTTGTTCAACTTCTCTGCTCAAGCCTAGTCCTTGTAGCAGCTGATTTCCATAAGCTAAATTGGTCTCAATAGCTTCCTATATTCTTTCACCTCAGAATTTTCTGAAGTGTCAAAACTGCAGGTTTGTCTTGTCAATCCTCCTAAAAATATTGTAGGTCTAAGTTTTCTGCAGTGATGACAACCCCATGAGAGAGTTCTTGTTCTCTACTGTATCTCTGAGTTAATACAAAATTAAGAGCTATCAACAGAATTGCATAAGATTCCTTCTTTTTTCATCTCATCTACCATCTTATTTAAAAGTCTACTCAGACATCAAGATATGTGAAATGTTATCCTGTAATACTGCAGAGCTGTTAACAAGGAAAAAAGCCGAAGTCTGGGTCATGAAAACTAGTTAACACCTTGATAACACAGGACTTTCAGGTGATGTCACTCAAATATATGATATATACTTAAAGCAGTGTTTGCCAAAGATGTTTGAGCAGTCCTTGGAAGAGAATGAGTAAGGTGGCAGGAAGTTTTAATAGTTGAAGTTAATATCATTTAAGGTAGAAGAGAAAAAGAATAGGAAGAGAGAACAAAGGGTAAAACTTAATGATGATTTTTGAACTTGGTAATACTATAACTATAATTTCCTGCAAGCCAGAACATGGTAAATAAGTCTTAGAAATATTAATTATCATTATCTGAGCAAGAACAGTTAGTTCTCTAATTTAGTAAAAGAAAAAAAAAGCAGAACCAAAGAGAAATCACAAACAATTGTTTATCTATACTCTGGGGTTGGTTTTTGGTTTGTTTAGGTCACAGTATTTATTCCAGTTGTTCCTTTTGTTGTTGTTTCCTCTCTGCGAGCCACTGTTGGATTTTTTCTTTTAGTTCTGTGTTTGGCCGGATCTGGTCCATGGTGAGGGGACTACGGTTAAAGGGATCTGTTTGGTCACTGGGACAAAGAGAGAAAGGAAAATGGGGTTATTTCTATGAATTCTAACATCCAAAGCCAAAACTAGAACACCTGGGGTCTCACTGTGAGACTGAAGCTAGGGTACACTGTAAGTTTGAATTAAATGCTGAATTGAGGTTGGAAAGAATGGTTTGTTTAGGTCACAGTATTTATTCCAGTTGCTCCTTTTGTTTCTCTGGGTTTTGTGGGGTTTTTTGCAGATTATTTAGCTACTTTGTCTTTCTGCTTTTTTAACAAAATTCATCTCAACACTGTTGTTCAGATGATATTTGACTGTATTTCCCTAAGGTAGAGACCCTGTACACTCGTGACAACATGAAGAGCTGTCTGTAGTTTTAGTGACAGGCTCTCAAAATACAGGGTTTGGCACAAATAACGACCCCCTATTTATTACAAAATCTTTAACTGCAAAATCATAAGCATGGAATTCTATAACACAACAATATCACACTCAAGCAGACCATATTTTAGGTGAAATTTCACCTCATATTTTAGGTGAAATGTTAAAATTAAAACCATAAATTATTACACCGATATTACTACCCTACCCTACCAACCATACTCAAGCAGGAGTTTTTTTTGCCAGACCCTGTGAAATAAGATGTTAAGGGAAAAAGCCTTGTGAATTGACACTTGATTTAGTTAGCTGATTGCTATACAAGTAGATGCAGATTATGGCTTCCTGACAGGTAAGAAGGTTTATAACATCATTTAAGGGCTGATATATCTTTTCTTTTTCATTCTGATGTTACAATAAAACATACATTTACATTTTCATTCACACTTTGGTAAAGTCATTCATGTGTATAGTGAATGCTTAATACCAACTACCATAAAGTTGAAAATCCTTCTTTACTGATACTTAAAAAACTGTATTTCCTTAAATTTGGTTCAGCTTATATATCTTAATTTTAAATAGGCAGAGTCTCTCAGTAACCATTTCTATGTAACACTGCACATACAACAGGGAAAACTCCTGGACACCATGGCTGAATTCAACAGCAGAAGCGGAATGTGGGTTAACCCATATGATGCATATAGTTTAAAATCTGAATGAAAAAAATACCCCATTTTAATAAAACTAAAACAATTTAAAGTCCAGTTATACTTTGGGTTACTATATTTTATAACATATGTTAATAGAAACTATTTCCTTAAGGAAGGAACAGGTAAGATTAGAACCAGCATTTCTCAACAGGGTGTCTTGTTTTGGGTATTTAAATACTTACCAATCAAGTAATATATCTCTACTGATTCTTCCCCAACACATTAGTAAATCAACAGTATTGACATCTGTTGGGTATACTACATCGTAATTAGAAATATGGGAGAAAAAGATGACAGCAAAGAATCATACATCTGTACTCTTGAGACTGCTTGTTTGGGCTGGCATACCTGAGCAAATGTCTGGCAATGGTGGATCTATCCACAGTGACTCGGGAAGATGGCAGTACCACAGGGTCAGACATCAGTGTGCTCATGATGGGGTCCAGGAACTCATCACAGGCATCTGCATAGGTCTCCTCTTCCTGTTGTTGAAGGTCTGCTAGAGACTGAGCATAAACACCTAGTAGTTAAGGTGAATTCAAGGGCAGCTGAATTCAAAATGCTCAATGACTAAACCTTAAAGGGTATATAACCTTAAAAGATATATATAAAGGTAATAACACTTTATAGTGACAATGACAATTCTCAACTTTATTTTTTAAATAAGCCAAGATGGATAAGAGCAAATTTAGTATTCAGCCCCAATTCTGAAACTTCATTTTGGCTCAGCTGTCAGCAGTCATGACTCAAAATGGGCTGAAGTGTTAAAGGGAAAAGAAAGACATCCCATAAACCTTTCTGGCAACAGTCCTGTTGTAAATGTCATAATTCAAAAGGGGATGAGGTGGAGGGTTATTATTTGCATAATTACAAAGTCACTTATGCAGCCTGTGTATGAAAAGCAGTTTTTGGTTTTAGGTACAAAAAGGTATAAGAATTTACAAGTGGCTTCAATATTTGGTTCTTTCATAACTCTAGTTCCTCAGGGTCCTGTCTAGCTAAACTCTAGGCCAAGATGAAGCCCAACTTAAGAAATAAGTAACTCCATGAAGGGAAGACTGGTATCAATGAGAGAAGTGTTCTATCCAGATGAAATGCCATGATTTTTCCTTTTTCATAACTGCTAATGGAGCTCTGTCATACTCCAGCAAAAGGGATTAGCTAAATACAATATAGTATTTTAATCTTTACAACGTATGGCTATAACACCCCGACTGGTGTGGCTTGGGCATCGTCCCACAAACTGAAAGATCGCCAATTCGATTTCTGGTCAGGGCACATGCCTGGGTTTTGGGCCGGGTCCCTGGTTGGGGGTATGTGAGAGGCAACTGATCAGTGTTTCTCCTACTCTTCTCCCTCCCTTACCCCTCTTGAAAATTAATAAATAAAATCTTTTAAAAAATACATTAAATGTATGACTATTCCCACATAAGCCAACTACCAACCACAAATATAGAGAACAGAGAAAGTCAATAAAAATCAATGATAAAAAGTACTCATCTTAGCCCTGGCTGGTATAGCTCAGTGGACTGAGCGTGGGCCTGTGAACCAGAGGATTGTGGTTCGATTCCTGGTCAGGGCACATGCCTGGCTTGCAGGCCAGTTCCCAGCAGGGGAACCATACACGAGAGGTTACACGAGAGGTTACACGAGAGGCAACCATACATTGATATTACTCTCCCTTTCTCCTTCCCTTCCCCTCTAAAGATAAATAAATAGAATCTTAAAAAAAAAGTACTCATCTTGAATTCTATTCTAAAAAGTTCTTTTCCATTAGCAATACAGATTTTCAAATCTATTTGTAACACCACACAAAAGTTTTCGTGAAAACAGCTTATAAAACTCTGTACATTCTGCTCTTTTAGCAGAAGCTTCCTAAATTAATTTTCAGTTCTCACCCTCACATTGAAAACAGTAGTATTAAGAATACAGTATACTGTTCTAGTTATTGACTAACCAGAAGGAATCGTGTTTATGTTTTCTCAAGACAATGATTTTATCCCCCTGAAACAGGGTAAAAAGCAGAAGAGCTGAATTAACAATGTGATTTTTTTTTAAGTTTCTTTTTAGAGAGAGGGGAAGGGAGAGAGAAAGAGAGGGAAAGGAATATCAATTGGCTGCTTCTCACATGCCCTCACCAGGGGCCTAGCCCACAACCCAGGCATGTGCCCCGACTGGGAATTGACCAGAGACCTTTCTGTTCACAGGCCAGCACTCAATCCACTGAGCTACACCAGGCAGGGCAATAATGTGATTTTTATAAAACATGTTAATAAACAAACTATCCTCCTTACCTTGATTCTCTCTGCTAAATTGTTGAAAGCCATAATCATATTCCCAGGTTTATTTATTTTCTTCAGGACTCGGACTGTCTGTGCAAAGAGAGTTGGGGAATAGGAACGTCCATCCTTAGGCACAGTGGCACAGAAATTCTCCTCATCCCTGGAAGGTCAGCATTGGAAAGAAATGGAGTGTCAGAGGAGATGACAAATGGGTTGAGGAACAAGGGTGCCCTTCACTTAAATGCCATGAATATTCTTTTGCTACAGAAAGATTTCTTCTAATTTTTAGGAAGTCTATCAAGTATTCTGTGGCCTTTAAAGAATTCTGCCTTTCCAAACAACAGTACAACCAGCAAAGTTTATTTTGCAAAAATCTAGGCAGAATGTTAAAAATTCTACATGATGAACCACAGGTCGTATAAAATCTGATGATTTAAAACTACAGATGATTCTTTCATTAACCAACTAGAAATGAATGATTTCTATTTCTACCTAATTACCAACCAGTCATTCTATTAACAAAAACCCAAATTAAAACCTTAACATCCCCTCTGACTTGCCCAATTTAAATCTCAGGTACCCAAGATTTAAGTAGATAGTGCAGATGTCTGATACGAGCTGCTGGGGTTTGAAGTCAAATTCACTGAAGTCCTTGACTTTTAAGGCCCCCATCTTGGGGCCAACCAGATGCTGCAGAAAGTAGTTCAGCATGGAGATGATGCGCTCAGCCAGGAAAGGATGCACAAAAAGTGATTTGATCTCTGGAAAAGAAGCCAGTCTGTGAAAACTTAATCCATTAGCAATTTTTTACTTATGTGTTAAGGAGTTCTGCTTAGAGACTTCTGGGGACTACTATTTTTTAAATTACATAAGCAATACATTTTCATTGCAGTAATATTAGAAAATATAGACAAGCAAAAGCAAACAAATACAAAAATTGCCAACAAGAAATAAACACTGTTAACATTTTGTTAACACAGTTGACTCTTGAACAACACAGGTTTGAATTACATGGGTCCACTTATATGCAGATTTTAAAAATAAGTATCATAAATGTATTTTTTCTTTTTTATGATTTTCTTAGTAACATTTTTTCCCTAGCTTCTTTTATTGAAAGAATACAGTATGCGATTCATATAACACAAAATATGTGTTAACTGACTATACTGTTGGTAATGCTTTTGGTCAACGGTAGGACATTAGTAGTTAAGTTTTGGGAAGTCAAAACTTATATGTAGGTTGTCCCAGCTGGTGTGGCTCAGTGGATTGAGCACCTGCCTGTGAACCAAAGGGATTTCAGTTTGATTCCTAGTCAGGGCACATGCCCGGGTTGTGGACCAGGTCCCCAAAGCGGGTGCTGAAGAGGCAAGCACACATTGTTGTTTCTCTTCATCTTTCTCCCTCCCTTCCCCTCTCTAAAAATAAAATCTTTTAAAAAAAGTTATATGTAGGCTTTCTTTCTTTTTAAAAAAAATATTTTATTTACTTTAGGAGATTTTAGGAGTCTGAAGCATGAGCCAAGATAGGTTATTTGTATGAAGTAGGTTAGATGGGGTCTCAGGGAATCCCCTGGGCAAGGAGAACAGTGATAGCCAGGTTGATGGAGATTCAGATATGGTGCCTGCCTGCTGGCTTTTTGTGTGTGTGTCTTGGGGAGGGGGCAGGAAGTGGGGGTGTGACAGTGCTCAGCAAAGAAACTATGGTCCCTGCCAGTACTTCTGTCCAGGAGAAAGCTGCCTCTCCTTGCCTGATGCCAGATACTTCAGTTCCTCCCTGTATGTCCCTGATGCCTTTCACTCTACTGCTCCAGTGCTGAAACTCAGAGGGAGTGAGTCTGAGTAAGTCTATGCATGAGCCCTTTAAGAGGAACTCCAGAAGCCCTGAATCTCACTCAGCCACAATCCCTGGGCTAGGGGGCCCTTTGTGGGGTGTGGACCTCTTACTCCTTAAGGGAGACCTCCGAAGCCAAGACATCCTTCCCTCTTTTTATCTGCCATATGTGACTCTGAGACCAGCCCGTTCTGTGTCTCTGCCCTTCCTACTAGTATCAATGCAGCCTCTTTTCTTTTCATATTTTAAACAATACATTTTATTGATTATGCTATTACAATTGTCTCATTTCCCCCTTCATTCCCCTCTACCCTGCACACCCCTGCCACCCACCCACATTCCCCCCTTAAGTTCATGACCATGTATCATAAATTCTTTAGCTTCTACATTTCCCATATTATTCTTGCCCTCCCTCTATTTTCAACCTACCGTCTATGCTTATTCTCTGTATCTTTTCCCCCTCTCTCCTTCTCCCGCTCCCCTGTTGCTAACCCTCTATGTAATCTCCATTTCTGTGTTTCTGTTCCTGTTCTAGTTGTTTGCTTAGTTTGCTTTTGTTTTAGGTGTGCTTGTTAATAATTGGTAGTTTGCTATCTTCTTACTGTTCATATTTTTTATCTTCTTTTGCTTAGATAAATCCCTTTAACATTTCATATAATAAGGGCTTGGTGATGATGAACTCCTTTAACTTGACCTTATCTGAGAAGCACTTCATTCTATATGAAAGCTTTGCTGGATAGTGCAGTCGTGGATGTAGGTCCTTGTCTTTCATGATTTGGAATATTTCTTTCCAGCCCCTTCTTGCCTGTAAGGTCTAAGAAATCAGAGGATAGTCTGAAGGGAACTCCTTTGTAGGTGACTGTCCCCTTATCTCTTGCTGCTTCTAGGATTCTCTCCATTTTAATCTTGGCTAATGTAATTATAATGTGCCTTGGTGTGTTCCTACTTGGGTCCAACTTCTTTGGGACTCTCTGAGCTTCCTGGACTTTCTGGAAGACTATTTCCTTTGCCAGATTGGGGAAGTTCTCCTTTATTATTTGTTCAAGTAAGATTTCAGTTTATTGCTTTTCCTCTTTCCCTTCTGGTACCCCTATAATTCTGATGTTGGAACATTTAAAGATGTCCTGGAGGTTCCTAAGCCTCTCCTCATTTTTTTGAATCCTTGTTTCTTCATTCTTTTTTGTTTGGTCATTTCTTTCTTTCTTCTGGTCCACTCCATTGATTTGAGACTCAGTTTTCGTCCCATCACTGTTGGTTCCCCGTGCATTTTCCTTCATTCCACTTAGTGTAGCCTTCATTTTTTCACCAAAAAATGCAACCAAATTCACCCAATTTTGTGAGCATCCTGATCACCAGTGTTTTGAACTGTGCATCTGATAAGTTGGCTATCTCTTGGTTGCTTAAAAGTATTGGCTCTGGGGCTTTGATCTGTTCTTCCATTTGAGCCATTTTTTTCTTCTTCTTTTTTTTTTGGTCTGGTTGCGCCTGTTAAGCAGTGAGGGGCAGAGCCTTAGGTGTTCACCAGGGTGGGGCAACCCAGTTACTCAGTTGTGACGCTGTATGTGGGGGTAGGGTCAGAGAGAGAACAATGGCGCTTGGTCTATTCTCTGATTTCAATCCCTTCTGTTATTTCCTACAAGCAAATTGGGCCCTTCTGGTGCTGGTTCCCAGGTGGGTGGGCTTGTGTACATTCTAGGACCCTGTGGGTGTCTCCAACAAACTCTCCTGTGAGGCTAGGAGTCTCTCCAGGCACCTCAATCCCCACGAGTGTTTTCAATTAGTGATTTTAGGCTTTATTTCCTGGCACTGGGGCTCTGGGTTGCAGGGTCTGTCTCCCTTCCCGTTTTCTCCTGGTTTATCTATGCGGGAACGTGTGACCACAGTCAGCCAGCTGCCTTGCATGCCTCACTGGATCTGCTCATTGTCTCCCCGAACTTGGGGTCTGCCAACTGCCGCCTGCACTCCCGGGTCCACCAGGAGTCCACCCACTTTTTCCTGCTGTGACCCCTCTCAACTGGCCACCGATTCCACCCCTCTTACTGGTCTGGATTCAATTTTCTGTCAGTTCTGGTTGTTTTTTTTTGTTTGTTTCTAAATTTTTGTTGTCCTTAATTTCGGTTGTACAAGGAGGCACAGTGTGTCCACCTACACCTCCATCTTGGCCCGCAGCCTCTTCTTTATAATCTTAGTTGTGGAACTTGTGTTCTGCTAGGCTTTAGATAGTTCTGAATGATGGCTGTTCTGTAGTTTAGTTGTATTTTTTGATGTAGCTGTAGAAGGATTTAAATTCTTTCTGTTCTGCTTTCATGGAAAAGTTCCTTGAATGCCCAGACTGGTGTAGTTCAGTGGGTTGGGAATCATTCCACAAACTGAAAGGTCCCAGCCAGGGTACATGCCCAAGTTGTGGGCCAGGTCCCTGGTTATGGGTATGCAAGAGGCAATCCATTGATGTTTCTCTCACATATCAATATTTCTCTCTCCCTCTTTCTCCCTCGCTTCCTGTCTCTAAAAGTAAATAAATGAAATCTTTTTTAAAAGTTCCTTAAATTTATCTTTGACCCTTCTGCTGACATGCTGTACTTCTCTTATCCCTTTGAGATTACAAAGATTTTCATTTATTATCTGTTTCATGTTAGAAGATTTCCTCAAATATCTGATGATCCTTTGTTGTCATTTTGTGTGTAAGCAACACAAAAGTTATTCATCAAATTTTCTTTATTCAAAAAAGTTTTTTACTTCTGGCCAAGATGGTGGTGTAGGTGGAAACATTGTACCTCCTCGCACAACCATGTTTAAAGACAACAAAGTTTTAGTAAAAACAAACAAACAAACAAATGCAACCAAAACACAGAAAATTGAACTATATGGAAGTCTGACAACAACAAACTGTTCAGCCAGACTGGCAGAGGGGTGGAGCCAGTGACTGGCAGAGTGGGGTTGTGCAGGAAAACTTGGCCAGACTGACCCAGGTGCGTGGGTGGTGGTTGGCAGATCCCAGGTGTGGGGTGGCGATGGGCAGATCCAGTGAGGGTGCAAGGCAGCAGCTGACCGCGGTCACATACTCACAAGCAGATAAGCCAGGCAAAGGATCAAGCAGGAAGATAGATTGCACAGGCCCCAGCAGTGGGAAGCAGCAGAGGGGACTGCTATTGCCCCTCTCTCACCCCATCCCCACATACAGCATCACAACCCAGTGACCTGGGGCCTGGTGAATACCTAGGGCTCTGCCCCTAATACATAACAGGTGCAAACAGATCAGAACATTATGGCTCAAGAAGAACTCAAAGCCCCAGAACCGATAACTCTAAGCAATCAAGAAATAGCCAACCTATCAGTTGCACAGTTCAAAACACTGGTGATCAGGATGCTCACAGAACTGGTTGATTTTAGTCACAAATTAGAGGAACAAATGAAGGCTAAACTAATTGAAATGAAGGGAAATGCTCAGGAAACCAATAGTGATGGGAAGGAAACTGGGACTCAAATCAAGGGAGTGGACCAGAAGGAAGAAAAAAAATGACCAAACAGAAAAGGATGAAGAAACAAGAATTCAAAAAAATGAGGAGAGGCTTAGGAACATTCAGGACATCTTTAAACGCTTCAACATCAGAATTATGTGGGTATCAGAAGAAGAAGAGGAACAGCCATGAGTGGAAAACTTATTTGAACAAATAGTAAAGGAGAATTTCCCCAATCTGGCAAAGGCAACAGACTTCCAGGAAATCCAGGAAGCTCAGAGAGTCCCAAAGAAGGTGGACCTGAGGAGGAACACACCAAGGCACATCATCATTACATTAGCCAAGATTAAAATGAAAGAGAGAATCCTAGAAGCAGCAAGAGATAAGGGGATAGTCACCTACAAAGGAGTTCCCATCAGACTGTCAGCTGATTTCTCAAGAGACTTTACAGGCAAGAATGGGCTGCAAAGAAGTATTCCAAGTCATGAAATCCAAAGACCTACATCCAAGATTGCTCTAACCAGCAAAGCTTTCATTTAGAATGGAAGGGCAGATAAAGTGCTTCTCAGATAAGATCAAATTCAAGGAGTTCATCATCAGCAAGCCTTTATTAAATGAAATGTTAAAAGGGACTTATCTAAGAAAAAGAAGATAAAAAAGATGAACAGTGAAAGGACAGAAAACTCAGTTATTAACAACTATACCTAAAACAAAAGCAAACTAAGAGGACAGCTAGATCAGGAGCAGAACCATAGAAATGAAGATCACATGGAGGGTTAGCAACAGGGGAGTGGGAGGAGGAGAAAGGGAGAGAAGGTACAGAAAATAAGTAGCATAGATGGTAGGTAGAAAATAGACAGGGGGGAGGGCAAGAATAGTATGGGAAATACAGAATCTAAAGAACTTGAGACATGTGGACATAAACTAAAGGGGGGAAATAGTGGGGGAGGGGGTGTACAGGGTGGAGGGGAATGAAGGGAGGAAATAGGAAAACTGTAATGACATAATCAATAAAATATATTTTTAAAAAAAGTATTTTTTTTTCAATTTGCAGTGAGGGGGAAGGGAGGGAAAAAGAGAGGGAGAGAAACATCAATGTGTGGTTGCTTCTTGAGCGCCCCCTATAGGGACCTGGCATGCAACCCAGGAATGTGCCCTGAGTGGGTTCCTGGAACCCTTTGGTTCACAGGCCGGCACTTAATCCACTAAGCTGTACCAGCCAGGGCCAAATATTTCTTTTTTAAAACTAAGTTTTCAGTATATATTTACTTGCAGCACATCTCAATTCAGACAAGCCACAATTTCAAATATTTGCTAGCCATATGTGGTAAGTGGCTACTGAATTGGACATTGTAGCTCTAGAGGGGGTGGAGATAAATGTCTTTGATCTACCAGAATTCAGGAATATTTTTTCAGGTTAATAATCCTCCCCTTTGCCCCCAACATATTTATGTGGCTAATTTGTCCTCATGAAAAATTATACCCACTTATGCTTTCTGGAAATTGTGTAAGGTGGTCAATTTCTCATTCCTATGTCAATGATGGGCATCATCATTTTTTTAAAAAATCCTCACCTAAGGACATTTCTTCATTACTTTTAGAGAGAGAGGAAGGGAGAGAAAGAAACATCTCTTTAGAAAGAGGATGTGAGAGAGAAGCTTTTATTGCTTGCCTCCCTTACTCACGTGGACTGGGGATTGTATGCACCCAGACCAGGAATTGGACCTGCACAGGCCAGGGTGGAATCATCATTTTTGAAGCTTTTCTAGTGATTCACTTCTCTCTCCTACTGTAGAGGATAGTCACTAGAGTCTGAGTTTCAGCTGGGCTGATCACTCAAATGAAACAGATCTTGACCACTGTATTTTTGGGAAGGCAATGCTTTACTTCCTTACCTGATGTCAGAAAGGCAAGGGTGCCAATTGTTTCATTGGACATAATATTATGGAAACGTGCCAGCTGTCCAAACATCTGTAGGCCAGCTTCCTTCTCTCGACGGGCTTCTGGAGTCAGACTATCCCATTCACCTTGGTCCTTCTCAATTTGTTGAATCTTTATCTTGCTCAAGTACTATAGAAACCAGAGGTTGAGAAAAATCAGAGAAAAAAATGAGGTTGAAGGGAAGATGATATTTAAGAAGTCTTACTTAAAATTGAGTCCACTATGCTGGGAAAACCAGGGACTACATTAGAGGCACAAGGCTTTACTTCTCAGCACAGGACTAATGCTAAAAAAATTAGCTCTAGAATAAGAGGAAAAAAAGAAGAAACTATGGCTTCATATAGCTTTGTTTCAGGCTTAGTAGACTTATTGGTAATTCCCCTAGATATATTAGTCTTTGAAACAGAAAGGAGGATAAATAATGTAACATATGAAACCCCAGCAAAAACAAACAAGCTACAATGAAAAAAAAAAAAAGGATGAATCCTTCCTGAAAGATGAAAAACAACAAAAAACTCCTAAAAATTGTTTATCAAAAAACAAGGCTTTATCAAACATCCAATATGTTTGGAAGGTGACCCATATTTAAAATTCTCTTCCTTGCTGTTGTAGCAAATCTGTTAAATTTATGGCCCCATGAAAATGCCATCTGTGTCATTTTTTGTGTCACATAGCTCTTGCTTAAAAGGGTCTGTTTATTACATGGCTTATTCTTGTTTTCTAAGAAAATCTATCTAAAAATCTTATAGGATTATGAAAAAGTAGGAAACTTTTCTCAGAAATTAAATGCAAGTTGCTGGGAGATTTGCTAATCACTATGAGGAACTGATGGCTGTCCAGTAGGCTGCCCTCACGGCTTGCCTGGTGCACCTCCCTTTGGGTCACTGCCCTATATTATAGCTGTTGCAGATACGGGAAGTTTTTATAGGAAAAATAGGAAGCTTCACAAGGAGGGTAAAGGATAAGATATATCGAAGGAGCTGAGAGGCACTCACTGTGTACTTTGTGAAACTTGTATTTTAAATACAGCTGAAGAGTTGGGAAGCAGTAGAGAGATGAATACTGACCCCAAACAGATTTTTTTCAAGCAGTGGTGTAAATATCAGAATCTTTTAGGAGAGGGATAAGAATCATTGCCCTAGTGAGCTACTGCTACAATGTGTTCGGGTGGATGAGGTTGAAATTCAGTGACCAAATGCAAGGTGCTGATTTCTTTGTTAGTGTTGGACCAATCAGCTCTGCCAGTGTACCTTAGTTTGGCCTCATCACATGTTCTTTTCCACCCTCTGCCAAAGTATTATCCCAGCTTGAGGCTTCACTGAGCCTTGATCTCTAATGGAACAATATTTCTCAAGTTCTGCAATGGCAAGGTTGGTGGCATACTACTACTGGCAAATTTTTGGTATCTAAAACTAATACTACAAGCAAGAAGATTACTCTATTATGATTAAATGGTGAAAAGTATGTACTGGTCATGATTTGATCAGTTAATCTTTTTTTCTTTTACCTGTATGGCTTCATCCAAAAGGAAGATGGCATCGTTCATCAGCAGGTTAAGAAAGCGGAGAAAAAGTGGGGGATTCATGGCTTCTAAATTCTTAGAGGCATAATCAGCCAAATCCTGTAAGTTCCAGCCCAAGAAGAAATCATTTTAGTACTAAACCACAACTTACTGGGCTTATCTGAAGCAAAACTCAGATAATGAAGTTTTGGTTTCACTGAAAGCTCTCACCTTAATGCTTTCTCGATAGGTATCTGTTTCCCACATGTACCTTAGAATGGGATACATGGGACGGCGGTAATTAAACTTCTGTTCAAATTGATGGGGGTCTCCTGGAGTAAGGTAAGAGCAAAACACCAGCAAAGGTGGTGCTATTAGAGGAAGAGTAAGAGCTTTTGCTATGTGTGGCCATTTTCCTTCATTCTGAATGTGTCAAGACTACTGACAAAATCTGCCTTGTAAGTTTATAAAGGCCTAGAGTGTAGCCAAGTGTTTGGCTACACTTACACACTTATTTCCTTACTGAAAGAACAAAAGTCTACCTTCTACAGACGAGAACAAGGATCAAACTGTACAATAAAAGCCAAGGGAAACAAATGCTTCCACTTCAAATGTAGAGTATTTATCAGACTTTGCATGAAGCCTCTGAGCTGGCCACTATGGCCGTGACAGCCATTTGCAGAATGGGATATTAAGTAATCCCCACATTCTTTATAGATTACATACCAACTGTGTAGTCTAATGGTTCTTAATTACCCTGAAAAAAATCAGGCCAGGAGATAAAAATCTGAGGCTTATATTGCTTCTGACATACCAAAGGTACCACTAGAGAGCACTATAGGCTGGGTCATATATGAGGCAGAGACTGGGATATGGAGTTCGAAGACCTAAGTATTCCTTCTGCTCCATATAATGCAAGTCTCTTAACATGTTGCAACTTCCACTTCCTCAGAAATAAGGCATATTATAATACACCCTCTATTATTACAATCAAAGGGTTGTTGTAATGACCATATAATAAGTGCAGCAATTTATTACGAAACTTCTCATATATTATGAAGATTTACATGCATTACCTCACTTGTCATTTCAACCCATTGTATACATGAAAAAACCAAGGCTCAGGGTAGCAAGTGACAAAGTAAAAATCCAAATATGTAAAGGCAACCGACAAAATGTTAAATGTCTCTTTATAAAGTATATGATTGTCTAACCACTAGGCTGTATACCTGAAACTAACAGGAAAATAATACTGAATGTAAACTGTCATTGAAAAATAAAATAAAAAATGTTGTATTTATCATTGGATAGTAGGGTATCCCCTTTAAAAGGGGTCTTAAATACTGCTTAACATTTTGTTTACTAATTGAGATGGGGTACTACTTACTCAAACACAGCATCTCAGGATTAGATCTCCAAAGGTCAGAGGAGAAAGGGAACGTTGCCTGATGTTATTGTTTTTTGGGTTTTTTTTTTTTAAGATTTTTATTTACTTATCTTCAGAGAGGGGAAGGGGGAGAGAAAGAAAGGGAGAGAAACATCGATGTGTAGCTGCCTCCCACAAGCCCCCACTGGGGACCTGGCCCACAACCCAGGCATGCACCCCTACCAGGAACTGAACCAGCGACCCCACAGTTCCCAAGTCAGCACTAATCCACTGACTGCCCAATAACAGCCAGGACGCCTGCTGTTATTCTTAATCTAACAATTAGACTGTTAGAGAGTAGACAGTCTGGATAAAAGAATACCTCAACCAGCACACTGTCTCTTTATCCAATATTCTGCAATTTTGAAGCAGAGAAAATAAAGGCTCAAGTTTTAATTGGATAGCCTAATTTGATTATGATTTAATCAAGCAATATAACAAAGCTGGTAAGAGTGTGTGGGTTTTTTTTTAAGGTGAGACAGACCTAAGTCTATCACTCAGTTGTATGATGAATAACTTAATCTTTTTCAGGATCCATGTCTCAACATGTAAAGTGAGGATAATACAGTAAAACTTTCCAGTGACATATTCATGAGACTATGTAAGAAAAGAAAAAGCACTCAGCATCAAGGCTGGCACAATAAATGATGATACTTTCCTGATACTCAAATACTGTTCAAGCAATGAAACTCCACAAGTATCAGCTTTCCAGTTCTAGACTGCTTTACCTGTAAACTCGATGTCCACAAAGACCTTGATTAGAGCTTCTGCAAGGTGGGGTGCATAGGGAAAGTTGCAAAACACACGTTTTCGGTGGAACACACTGGATACCAAGGGATTTGGGGTCTGATCCAGGTGGGGCATCACTGCTTCCAACACCTCAGCCAGTTTGGCCCTTAGATGGGGATTCTTCATCCTGCAAATAGGGCAGAAAGCAAGTTGGGCTGGTAGAATTTTTTTTTAAAGATTTTATTTTCTTTATTTGATGGTAACAACAAAGACTGCAGTTTAGTGTTTAAACTTGAAATTAATGATGACCCTTCTATCTAGGCAGAGTAACTAAAGAGAGAGAATCTACAAAGAAAACTAAGAGACTGGGACAAAAGGACAGCTTGCGCCTGGCTACTACAAGCTGGTTTATTTCAGCCAGGGAGGCAAGCCAAAATTACCGATTGCTTTCCTTACTGACTGGAACCAACAGTGTTCCTCCACGACCCCCATTATTAGTCTTGTCAACAGTTGCATTACATTGTATCTACTTAAATACAAAAAAAAAAAATCAGCCCTCATCATAAAATCACATTTTTCAGAAGTATTATATTCAGAATCACTGACTACTTTCATCTTTTTTCCTTGACCATGTAGGTGTTTCAGTCTATTGTGTTTCTTCTTTTATGCCAGATAAGGGCTATCTGAAAACTTTCATTACTTTCATCATCATTTATTTCAGCCACTTTAGATTTTCATTTCTCCAAAATCATTGGTGTATACACTGGTGTGGAACCCTGGTCATGCAGTATTCTCAGGAGTGTTAAGCGTGACTGAAACCTCTTTTTTCTTCTTAGGTAAAGCCTGGCTGTTTGTAGATTTCTGAAGATCAGTGTTTGAAGCATTGCTTTTTAAATTTTTATGTAAAAATCAATAAAGGAAAATTGTCATTAATTTTTACTTAGAAGGAAAATTATAATTAATTAGTTTTCTTAGCTAATCTCTTCCTGAGTAATTCTTTTCAAATGGCTTCTTCATTCACAGCCTTTGAAGATGTATCCAGTTCTGGTTATACTGCTTGACTGCTGGATGTGATGGGTATGCCACTCTCTACAAACTTCCTCAAGCATAAAATAACACTTCAAGACTTCACCAAAAAGGCAGTTGTTCATTGTTTTAGCAACTACCTTGGTACATCTTCAGATTCAAACTCCATGAAGGCATAACCTTTTATTGTTTGCAGTGTTTTCACTTCTGGACAGTCAGAATCTCATTATAGTGCCAAAATGGGAGAAATGCTCAGAACTGTTCTTTTTAAAAATATATTTTATTGATATGCCATTACAGTTGTCCTATCCCCCCTTCATTCCCCTCCACCCTGCACACCCCTCCCCCACGATTCCCCCCCTTTGTGATCTCCATTTCTGTTTCTGCTCCTGATCTAGCTGTCCTCTTAGTTTGCTTTTGTTTTAGGTGTGATTGTTAATAACTGTGAGTTTGTTGTCCTTTCAATGCTCATATTTTTTTAATCTTCTTTTTCTTAGACAAGTCCCTTTAACATTTCATATAATAAGAGCTTGGTGATGATGAACTCCTTGAACTTGACCTTACCGGAGAATCACTTTATCTGCCCTTCCATTCTAAATGAAAGCTTTGCTGGATAGAGCAATCTTGGATGTAGGTCTTTGGATTTCATGACTTGGAATACCTCTTTCCAGCCCCTTCTTGCTTGTAAGGTCTCTTTTGAGAAATCAGCTGACAGTCTGATGGGAACTCCTTTGTAGGTGACTGTCCCCTTAGCTCTTGCTGCTTCTAGGATTCTCTCCTTCATTTTAATCTTGGCTAATGTAATGATGATGTGCCTTGGTGTGTTCCTCCTCGGGTCCACCTTCCTTGGGACTCTCTGAGCTTCCTGGAATTCCTGGAAGTCTATTTCCTTTGCCAGATTGGGGAAGTTCTCCTTTACTATTTGTTCAAATAAGTTTTCCACTCATGGCTGTTCCCCTTCCCCTTCTGGTACCCCTATAATTCAGATGTTGGAACATTTAAAGATGTTGTGGAGATTCCTAAGCCTCTCCTCATTTTCTTGAATTCTTGTTTCTTCATTCTTTTCTGTTTGGTCATTTTTTTCTTCATTCTGGTCCGCTCCCTTGAGCCCCAGTTTTCTTTCCATCACTATTGGTTTCCTGTGCACTTCCCTTCATTGCACTTAGTTTAGCCTTCATTTGTTCCTCTCATTTGTGACTAAAATCAACCAATTCTGTGAGCATCCTGATCACCAGTATTTTGAACTGTGCATCTGAAAGGTTAACTATGTCTTGGTCGCTTAGATTTATTGGCTCTGGGGCTTTGAGCTGTTCTTGAGCCATAATGTTTTGGTCTGTTTGCACCTGTTACGTATGAGGGGTGGAGCCCTAGGTGTTCACCAGGGCGGGGCAACCCAGGTTGCTGGGTTGTGATGCTGTAGTGGGGGTGGGGTCAGACAGGGGCAGTGGCGTTTGTTCTGCTCTCTCTCAGATTTCTGTCCCCTCTGCCACTTCCCACAAGCAAATTGGGCCCTTCTGGTGCTGGTTCCCAGGTTTGTGTGCTTGTGCACCCTCCAGGACCCTGTGGGTCTCTCCAACAAATTCTCTGTGAGCCTGGGAGCCTTTCCCGGCACCTGGACCCTGAGTCTTTCCAATTGGTGTTTTCAGGCTCTAATTCCCATCGCTGGGGCCATGGCCTGAGCAGTCTGTGTCAATGCTCGCTCCTTCACTTGGTTTATCTGCATGTGAATGTGTGACCGCGGTCAGCCACCTCGCACCCTCACTGGGTCCGCCTGTTGCCACCCCACGCCTGGGATCTGCCAACTGCCGCCTGCGCTCCTACACCAGTCCAGCTGATCTTTCCTGCCCGACCCGCTTCACTGCTGACTCCACCCCTCTTACTGGTCTGGATGAATGGTTCGTTGTTGTTGGATTTCCGTACAGTTCAATTTTGTGTTTTGGCTGCATTTTTGTTACTAAAACTTTGGTAACAAAAGACAACTTTGTTGTCTTTACACTTGGTTGTGCAAGGAGGCATAGTGTTTCCACCCATGCCTCCATCTTTCAGATCTGGGATTTGTAAAGCACTGGAGGTAAGTGGCCCATGTAGATTACTACAGGAGTAAGTTTTTCTTTTTATTGCTTCTGTTGCTTGGACGTGCACTGGTCTACCTAAGCCACAATCTCCTTGTGAAATTTGGCATCCTCCTGCAGGTTTAGGGACAGAAATGGCTTGGCCGGGCCTACAAAGACCACCATGTGAAAAGCGTCTAAGCCAAGGAGTCAAATTTTTATGAGTATTCTCTGCGCAGGAATCAAAACATTCTATACCACTAATGTGGGAGAAAAACAGGATTCTGCAGTTTTAAGTCTGTCAATTTCTGGGGCATAATGCAGGCGATACCATTCCACTTTTGAGGTCATAGCTTATCAAGAATGAGAGTGAGTAGTTAAGTTTGTGTTTAATTTTTAGCCATTCTGTGTACCTATGATAAGACATTGTTTATTGCTTACTATTCTCATTTTCACCTTTGATAAACTTGCCTTTCCAAGCTTTCTGAAATCAGAGCTAGGATATAATTATTTTACATTACTGACATTGCCTACTGTGTGTGCCTAAAATATGTGATTTATATTTTCTCATTAGATCTGCTCAGCTCAGTGGGGGGCTGGTTTTTACCTACTTTTCACTGACATGGCTCTGGTACTGTGGCTCATTCTTTTTTTGTGTGTAGCAAATCTTCATTTATATACACATTGTTTCTTTCCTTTGGCCTAGACATGGAAAAAGTCAAGAGAAGCATCTCTACAGGTCAATGAATATCTTCCTTTGGGAAAGAAGACTAGGAGTTATGAATGAGAAAGACTTGAGTTTAGAAGTCATTTACCTAAGTTTATCACTCATCCAACTCAGGATTTCAAGAGCAAACTGTATCATGTGATTATTAAAAGATCATTAGCACCTGGCTGCCTCTGGCAAGGTTTCTGCATTAAGGTAACCATTTTAACCAAGGACTAGCAATGCAATTCCTCTCAGGTACCTTATAGACAAATTCAAATTCTCTGTGAGCAGAGTCCTTTGCCTCTCAAGAATGAGATTTTTTTGGTTGCCCACAAGGATGGTCAGGTGATTTATTAATGTTAACACAACTTGTGAAGGCAACCCCTTATGAGTCAGACTTGTTTATTTCTTGGTTTATAAGTCTTCTGAATGTTCTGTAGCTCTAAACAGTGACAGTCAAACTTTCAGCACTTCACCTTTCTACGCTTCCAGTGAAAATGGTGATAAAGTGAAGGACATGTTCCAGGGAATCTGCTGATGTCTCTAAGATGTCATCAGCAAAGCGGCGGAGAAAAATGAGGAAATCACCCAGGTTATCTGCAAAAAATTCTGAAAAAAAATTGCATTGGAATTAGCCAAATATCTGACTCTTTATATTTACAAATTCTACACTGTACTTAATGAAGGTTAACAAAACCCAAATGTCTTGAAGGTACTAGGAATGGTGATAAGTTAACAAATGTAGAATCTCCTTAAAATGTGTCAATTTGTCATTTTTATCCAAGTAAATATAAGAACATTAGACACAAAAATGTTGTTAATATAGCAATGCAGTTTAAGATAGTATACTGATACAACATCTTTCCACACTCAAGGATAACTGTGTACTAAATAACCCTTTAGATGTATGAAGAATCTTGAGTAAAAGATTCATTGGGTGACTATGCCCACCAGTCTCCAGGATGGCCCTTACCTCCTGGTATTTGTGCCCTTGTGTGTCCCCTCCTACACTCTTCCAGGGTACAAAACATACCTTGAGGGCCTACAGAAGTGATGGTATGTCATTTTCATGATTAGTTTATAAAAGTCAACAGCTTCCATATCATGAGTAGTAGTACTAAGGAGAGACTTGTGTGGTCTAGAACACAAGCCAGCAAGCAACTGAGGTCTGCCAGTAGCCACATGACTAGGCTTGTAAGCAAATCCTTCAGTCCTGCTCAATCCTTCAGATTCCTATGGCCTTGACTGTAACCTTATGAGAGACTCAAGAGTCAGAACCATGCAGCTAAGCTACTCCTGGATTCCTGACACCATAGATACCGTGAGATAATGTTGGTTGTTTTCAAGTTTCTATATTTTGGGGTAATTTGTTACTCAGAAATAGATGAGCAATACAGTGATCAGGAAAGTTCTTGATTTTTTAAAAAAAGATTTTATTTATTTATTTTTAGAGAGAGGGGAAGGGAAGGAGAAGGAGTGGGAGAAAAATATCAATGTGTGGTTGCTCTCACATGCCCCCTACTGGGGACCTGGCCTGAAACCCAGGCATGCGCCCTGACTGAAAATCAAACTGGTGACCCTTTAGTGGTGCTCAATCCACTGAGCCATACCCGCCATGGCAAGAATGTATTTGATTTTGATGGATAATACCTGTCAACCACTCACTGACATATATACACATATAATCTCTTCTGGGTTAACCAATAGGAGATAATTTTGTGGCCCCTAGAGAACAGCACAGGGTGAGTTAGATAAATTTCCAAGTTAAACAACAAAAAATATTAATGATAGAAACTAACAGCTCTGAAAACCTTGGCTGCCCTTAGTCCTTTGAAGAATTTTTTTTTAAAGATTTTATTTATTTATTTTTAGAGAGAAAGGGAAGGAGAGAAGGAGAGAAACATCAATGTATGGTTGCCTCTCGTGAGTCCCCTGCTTGGAACTGGCCTGCAACCCAGGCATGTGCCCTGACTGGGAATCGAACCGCGATCGCGTGGTTCGCAGGCCCGCGCTCAATCCACTGAGCCACACCAGCCAGGGCTTGAAGAATGTTTTCTGATATGCAAAGCAGTGAGGACACAAGGCTGAGTACAAAGCTGTTAGTTACCCTATGCTTTCACCAGCAGATATTTATTTGCAAGTATGAGTAGCTTGTCCAGAAGCAGTTAAATAATAACTATAAAAAGTATCTTGAACCTGGCTGGCATAGCTCAGTGGATTGAGCACAGGCCTGCAAACCAGAGAATCGCGGTTTGATTCCCAGTCAGGGCACATGCCTGGGTTGCAAGCCAGTTCCCTGCAGGCCAGTTCCCAGCAGGGGGCGCATGAAAGGCAACCATACATTGATGTTTCTCCCTCTCTCCTTCCCCTCTAAAGATAAATAAATAAATAAAATCTTAAAAAAAAAAAAAAAGTATCTTGAGGACTGAACTTCCAAAGTGACCCAGTTAAACTTAGAGGGCTACAAACAGGAAGTTACTGAGAGAGACCCTACTTACCTGGCACATAAGCCAAAGAGCTGTAGCCCTCTGGCAGAGGAAAAGTCAGCTCGATCAACTGTGAGCCCTCATTGCCTAGGGCCAGCTGAACTAGTAGAACAGCCATGGACACCTGCAAATTTAGGCAGTTTTGCAGCATCTGTGGCTCAGTCATGGCAGTCTTGGTGGAAAGATAGATGGTCATCAGTCGTTCAAACTGCTCACGGAGGTTGTCACTAGCAGGGCTAGAACTTTGCTGAGCATCCCGCCAGGCAACCTGCAGCCGATGCAGATTTTGGTTGATTTTTACCATCTGATCATGCAACCTGCCCCCAAGAAAGCAGAAGAGACTGAGTCAGGACATTCATATATGAATAGTCGAGTACAGACCATTCTAGAAATACAAATCCTCACTTTTTATTCTAGTATCTTTTTTTCGTAGGTAGGGAGCTGCAATTGTGATGATACAGAAGGTACTCATAAAAATTATTGATAAGACATAGGCAGGGGGCATAATGCTGGAAAAATGTTACCAAGTATTCAACATAATTAAAGGTAATTACAAGTAATTAGCAGCCTCCAAAGAACATTAGCTTGGTTGAGCAGAATATAAATTGGGCTGTTATTAAGTCAAATAAATAACTATTAAGCAAAGTATAAGAAGCCCAGCAGGAAAGTCTGACAATACACAAATATAGTGATTGTACTTAGATGTGGTTAATGGACAGTCTATCCATGGTCAGAAGAAAACTAAAATGTGATTACTACATTGGTAATCACCACATATAAACAAGTAGCCATCTGGGATGCCATCTAAAAGCAGTGGCTCCCAGCCTTCTGCTGTTCAATATTAAATTATTTTCCGGACTTCTGCCAAGATGGAGGCGTAGGTGGAAGCACTTCGCCTTCTCACACAACCAAGTTTAAAAACAACAAAGTTTTAGCAACAAAAACGCAGCCAAACCACAGAAAATTGAACTACACGGAAGTCTAACAACAACAAACCCTTCAGCCAAACCTGTAAGAGGGGCAGAGCCAGCAGCAGAGCGGGGTCGGGAAGGAAAGATCCACCGGACCAAGGTGGGTGTGCCAGCAGCCGTGGGCAGATCCCAGGTGTGGAGAAGCAGGCAGACCCCCTGAGGGTACAAGGTGTTGGACCCACTGAGGGTGCAAGGCAACGAAACCACTGAGGACAGACCGTGGTCACACATTCGCGCGCAGATAAACCAGTGAAGGAGCTAGCGGTGGTGAGACAGACCATGCAGGTCCCAGCGGTGAGAAGTGGCCGAGAGAGCCGCCATTGTCCCTCTCTGACCCCACCCCCACATACAGCGTCACAAACCAGCGACCTGGGTGGCCCCACCCTGGTAAACAACTAAGGCTCTGCTCCGCACATATAACAGGCACGAACAGATCAAAACATGGCTCAAGAACAACTCACAGCCCCAGAGCTGATAAATCTAAGTGATGAAGAAATAGCCAAACTTTCAGATGCACAGTTCAAAATACTGGTGATCAGCATGCTCACAGAACTGGTTGATTTTAGTCACAAATTAGAGGAACATATGGAAGCTAAACTAATTGAAACAAAGGGAAATACACAGGAAACCAATAGTAATGGAAAGGAAATGGACTCAAATCAAAGGAGTGGACCAGAAGGAGGAAAAAAATGACCAAACAGAAAAGGATGAAGAAACAAGAATTCAAAAAAAGGAGGAGAGGCTTAGGAACCTTCAGGACATCTATAAATGCTCCAACATCCAAATTATAGGGGTACCAGAAGGGGAAGAGGAACAGCCATGAGTGGAAAACTTATTTGAACAAATAGTAAAGGAGAACTTCCCCAATCTGGCAAAGGAAATAGACTTCCAGGAAATCCAGGAAGCTCAGAGAGTCCCAAAGAAGTTGGACCCGAGGAGGAACACACCAAGGCACATCATCATTACATTAGCCAAGATTAAAATGAAGGAGAGACTCCTAGAAGCAGCAAGAGATAAGGGGACAGTCACCTACAAAGGACTTCCTATCAGACTGTCAGCGGATTTCTCAAAAGAGACCTTACAGGCAAGAAGGGGCTGGAAAGAGGTATTCCGAGTCATGAAATCCAAAGACCTCCATCCAAGATTGCTCTATCCAGCAAAGCTTTCATTTAGAATGGAAGGGCAGATAAAGTGATTCTCCGGTAAGGTCAAGTTCAAGGAGTTCATCATCACCAAGCTCTTATTATATGAAATGTTAAAGGGACTTGTCTAAGAAAAAGAAGATTAAAAAAATATGAGCATTGAAAGGACAACAAACTCACAGTTATTAACAATCACACCTGAAACAAAAGCAAACTAAGAGGACAGCTAGATCAGGAACAGAACCATAGAAATGAAGATCACATGGAGGGTTAGCAACAGGGGAGTGGGAGAAGGAGAAGGGGGAGAAGGTACAGAAAATAAGTAGCATAGATGGTAGGTAGAAAATAGATAGGAGGGAAGGCAAGAATAGTAGGGGAAATATAGAATCTAAAGAACTTGAGACACGTGGTCATAAACTAAAGGGGGGAATGGTGGGGGAAGGGTGTGCAGGGCAATGAAGGGGGGAATAGAACAACTGTAATGACATAATTAATAAAATATATTAAAAAATTATTTTCCACAAAGGGTCAGCTATTGTTCTCTAATGAAAGGAAGACCCATAATTCAATGCTATAGATAGTTTTCTCTGTACGTACAGTCCAAAATCATCTTTGTTGGCCCTGTAGATAATGTCTGGGGTTAGGTAGTCTATATTGGGAAACTAGATGACATTCACTTTTGTGTTTGAATCTAGGTGCTTGAATAGGTCAAAACACATGCTGAATTGCTATCTCTTGTCTCATTTAAACGTCAATGACAGGGATAAAAAAACTCTCTAATAAAAATTTAATTTTATTTTTCAAGAAATTTGAAAAGTGCCCTGTGTTCATTTAAGCATCCTGAGATGATATTAAAAACTACTATCCTGCCCTGGCTGGTGTGGCTCAGTGGACTGAGTGCTGGCCTGTGAACCAAGGGGTAACTGGTTCAATTCCTAATTGGGGTACAGGCCTGGGTTGCAGGCTGGGTCCCCAGTAGGGGGCACTTGAGGAACACAAGAGAACCATACATTGATGTTCTTTCTCTCCTCTTTCTCTTTCCCGTCTCTTCTCTCTGAATATAAATAAATAAAACATTAAAAAATTGCTATCTTTAATATTCCTATCTATAGACTATAACTGTGAGTGAGAAGCTATTTTCTCTTATTTATACCTGTAGTCAACAATCAGCTGAATCAGAGGTGGGGTGAAATCCTAGAATGACTATAGCCAGCTAGAACCAGGACCATTTTTTAAAGTCATACACTCTAGTTCTCAAATCTTCACACTTCTAGACTCCTCTTTATCTTTGAAACAAAGATCTTTTGTGGTCCTACTGCTCTTATTGAAATCCCTTATAAACATTTCTTTAATTTTATCAATTTTGTCTCTACATCACAGAGTGGAGTTTTGTCTTTTTTCATCTGGAGTAATAGGTAATGAAAATTCAAGAGCAGAAAGTAAAATATTAGATGAAAACAATTCCACTTTCATAGATGACAATTGGAAGTAGCAATTTAAAATTTGCAAGTTTAGAGAAAAATATGAGGAGTGTATTTTTAATTTTAAAAAGCTTAACAGGTCAATAATTAAAAAATTAATTCAAATGATCTGGACTGTCAATTCAGGTAACCACAAATACATGCATACAATGCCCTTTTCCTACTAGATTCCAATGTAATCCTTCAGAAGAAAGTGAGATTGTATTAAGACTCACACTGAACTTTCTGGTTATCAGTATAACTAAACAGTTCTTTCCTAATGACATCAGAAGTGTTACCTGTGGAATCCCAGGTATAAGGTATACTCTGTGAGAACAAGGTTCTCTGTTACGAGGTTGTAATTCTGGGGAAACTTTGGCTCCTGCACAGCTGGGATCAAACAGGTTTCTTTGTCCAAACCTTAAAGAAGTTAAAAGGAACAGTAAATGGCTAGCCAACGCCATCTACCCTGGTCTCTACAGCCCCCTAACTCTAGTTCAACTTCCACACTGCTACCAGTGATTTCTTCTACTTCTTTTTTTTTTTTGGTAATATCTTCTTACCACATTACCACTCCTTTGTCTAAAAATATCTTTTGACTTCTCGCTATATATAAAAATGCAGTTAAATTTCCTTAGCTTGATCATGAAATCACCAAAACTTAAAATAAATACTAGATAACTGTGGATTTTTCAAGCATTAGACAATGAGTCATTTGTATCTATTTTGTACTTTTCTGTATTTAAGATTATTTGCTTTTAAAATGTATTGCTTCTACAGCTAAAAGAGTTATAAAACTGGGAGGAAATATGTACACAAAATTAAAAAGGATTCATTCTGAGTGATAGAATTATAAATAATTTATTTTCTTTTCACTGCTCTATGTTGTTCAAGTTTTCTCTAATTTGGCCACAATCTTCTGCCTCACCAGACTCATTTTCTGCCATTCCCGTACATTTTCCTTCCCCCACCTACTCCATGCCTCAGCCCCAATGACCTTTTCACTATTACTTAGTCAACCTCTCCATAGCTTTGTGCCTTTATACTTGTTATTCCTTCTGTATAAACAAATTCTTTTGCTTTCTTGCCTGATAAACCCATCTCATCTCTCATGGGTCAGCTGTGAAAACCTCTAACTTCTGTAGAATGTATTTCTCACTCCATCGTCTGTGTTCCCATAGCTTAGTCCTATATCATATTATGATTATATGTTAATATTTCTGCCTTCTTCTGGAGGTTTTGAATTTATAAATGACAGGGACTATGCTTTATTCATTTTTAGAGAAAGAATGAATACCCAAGGCTCCCAAATTCAGAGAAAAGGTCTCACTAAAGCACAATATCTAAAAGCTACCAGTTTTATTTATAAAAGTCTGTCCTTGTAAAATTTATAGTGGCTCTTCTGTCTGCCTCATCTTCTATCAGAAAGAAGCACCTCTGTGCAAGTGCCTTAGATGTCACACACACACACACACACACACACACACACACACACACTCTCTCTCTCTCTCTCTCTCTCTCTCTCTCTCTCTCTCTTTTGGGAAGCCCAGTACTCCCCTACCTCTCATGTGTACATTTTTAATTTTTCGTTCTTCATCATTCAACTCCTTCAGGGCACAGTAAGTGGGATTAAAGGTGAGGAGACGAGAGGATCTGGGTTTGCAAAATGGCTGGCACAGCTTCAGGAGAGCAGCACCCAGATTCAGAAAGAAGGCATCCGAGGCATACATTTGGAAGAAGATTTCTGGCATCTGATTGGCCCAAATCTTGGTGCGGCCTGCATTTGCATGCAAACAGTTTCCAAGCCACGACAAGATACAGTGTTTGGTTTCTGGAGAGAGCTGGAGTAAGTTCTTCAGCATCTGGTAGATCTTTTCATGGAACTGAGCCATGAACTGTTTAACCAGAAAACATAACCACAGAACATTCCAGTTTCACAATCCTAATATCTGTTACTCCCAAACCTTAGCCACCAGCAATTTCTAAAAATATGTCAATCCTAATCTTTTTCCTCACTATCCTTGTGCCTTACCCCAAGTTCTGATTAAAAAAAATTTTTCTGGGCACCTATGAGAAATTTTCTGATGAACTGCCAAACTGCAGATAGCATTTAGAGTAGGGTCAGTAATCTTTTTCTGCACAGGGTTATATGCTAAATATTTTTCGCTGTGCATGCCATATGGTCTTTGTAGCAACTATTCAACTCTACCATTATGGCATGAAATCAAGCCATAAACAACACACATGCAAATGGGCAAGGCTGTGTTCAATAAAACTATTTACAAAAATAGATGGCAGGCAGGATTTGACTACTGCTGTAATTTGTAAATCTGCGCTTTAGACAGTTATGATGATGGGAGATTTAAACTACCCTCAATTCAACAGTTTACTCCCCCATGTTGACCAGACTTCTAGTATAACTTATGCTAAGAAGCCCAAATAGAGAGGACAGAGGAAGGAAGGAAAGGGAAAAAACTGGTTTTTAGGCTGGAGTTCAGTCAGAAGATTTAGAAGTTAAAGTGATAAGAAATACATTGGTGAGAAAAACAAGGGTTGAAAGGAAGAGGCTGTGCTACAACACAGGACAAAGAGCAGCAGCTTATTCTTTAAACCATATTAAGGTTTATCCTTGGCTCTTAGCACATGCAATAAAGAGGGCAATTTCTTTACATGATTATAATAGAAAGCCAACCAGATCAACCTGCATTCCCAAAGAGGCTCAAGCAGCCTTATCTGCATCTGCTTCTGAGGAACTCTACTTAATCTAAGATAGGGGGCTGGTATAGACTGTAAACAGTTCCACCTGATGGATGTTGGCCTCTTGTACTTTGATCTCCTGGGGACTGGAACGAGATGGATTCAAGAAATAGCCATGATTTTCTACTACACCCGGAGTCTTTAATAAGCAGGAGATATTCAGGACTACTCCCAGCAAGGTCTTCTGGTACATCTGTCCACTGCTAAGATCCTTGGGCTGAATGTATTCTACAAATACCTGTAGGAGAAGGTAAGTCCTATTTATTTGTTTGTATGATGACATACTGTATTTTGCCATGTATAATGCACACCCATGTTTTGGCTCAAATTTTCAGGAAAAAATTATTTTAATTTTTTTAAGATTTTATTTATCTATTTATTTATTTTTGGAGAGAGGGGAGGGGAGGGAGAAAGAGAGGGAGAGAAATACCAATGTGTGTTTGCCTCTCATGTGACCCCCACTGGGGACCTGGCCTGCAACCCAGGCATGTGTCCTGATTGGGTATCAAACCTGTGACCCCTTGGTTTTTAGGCCAGCACTCAATCCACTAAATCACATCAGCCAGGGACATTTTAATCAAATCATTTTTTTATATTCAGAAACAAAACTGATTATCATACTCCAGAGTATTATTTTGCATACAGATATCAATATTACTTTCTAGAGTTATACTTTTAACACATTAAGCATAAATAAAGGAATTAAAAACATTTATATACATATGGAATTAGCACTACCCAAGTACAAGGCACATCTTTGTTTTTCCCTCAAAAATTTGGGCAAAAAGTGAGCATTATATATGGCAAAACACAGTAAATGTGATGGGGTGAGTGGTCCTTGAAGAGTTAAGTCTACACAACAACTAATACATTTTTCTCTTATTCAATAAGTAATATTATAATGCCATCAGGAAAGGGAAGTATAAATTACTAAATATCCAGCTCAACTATCATATACCACCTTTCAGATTTACCTTTGCCATATCCTTTTGCCTAGTGAAATAGAGAAGAATATCCAGATATGCATACAACATGATCTGGCAGAGTTCTAGATCTTTTATTCGGCCCAATAAAATATCAAACACTGGAATCATGACTTCTGGAAATGTTCGAACCTCCTCATCCAATATCAAGGTTTCAATGACCTCTTCCAGAAACTCAGTTACATCTTCAAAATCTAACAAAGGCAAATGAGAGAGAAAGGAGGTCACAGAAAATTTTATATATGCTTTTGATACTTTTGATAATTCTACTAATATTCAACCTCAAAGGTGCAAGTATGAACTCTCTTCCTTAATTTTTAGTGGAAACATAGTGGCTCTGAGGCTTTCCAATGCCCTTAGAGGAATTTTAAATTCAGAAATCAAAATGTAGAAGCTCACAGATCTTGCTTATGTACTCACAGGCTCCTTGGATGGCTTCCAACATCAAATCTACCAGTTGCTCATGGATGTTTTGATCAACATACATCTCTGGGGTGAGAAGAACTGTTCGTGTATCGGACACAGTGAGGTTCCTGCACTGCACTGCAAAGGGTAGCAGGTTCTCCGGAACTTTGGTAATCTGGAAACAGCATAAAGGAGAAGGGGAAAAGTCTAGTTCTATCACCTGGCATAAGGGTGTCCATAGTAAAGAGAATGGAAAAGATATTGTGTTCCATAACAATACTGCTCTCTCTTGGATGCTTGAAAATTTATGAGAATTCATTCTTTGGTTTAAGGAATCACCTACTTATTAGAATTCCAATCCTGGAAATGACCAAGCTTGGTCTACTCTGTTATTTACACTTCAGGGGAAATGAATTTATTGGACTTTTTTAAATTGTGTGATTTTTTAAAAAGAGGTTTGTAGAGAAAATAAGCAGCTTTGGTTCACTAGGGAAAGGAGTGGATCCCAAGCCACAGAAAAAAAGACTAAAATTTTAAAGGGTCAACTAATAGGGGCTAATATCTAGTTACAGATGTACTATGACGTATATAAACTGATATAAAAGACATTGATCTCTCTGGCTTACATGTTAAAATCATACCCAAAGAGACAATACAGTATACAGTGGGAAATTATAATTACCTCTTCCTTGGCTCTTTGGAAGCAGGAATAAAGATAATAAAAAATGTGCCTCTCCCCTGCATCTCTATCAGCAGATAGATTTACTGTTGTAGAGGAAGTCATGTTAATCAAGTGGCTGCCTGGATCTTGAAGTAATAAGCGAGCAAAGACAGCCTATTAAGAAAAATAAATAAACAAAAACACTAAATCACTGTGAAGTTAACCCTAGACCATCAAGATATAAAGGGTAATTCTGACACAGTTTATTTCGAGTCACAGGATATAGAGTTAAATAGGGAAAATAGGACCCAGTGTCTAATTACTTTAGAAAATATATATACAACGTAATTGTGTATATTTAAAGTTATCCTAAATCAAGCTCAAGTGTATAGCCCCTAGCACAGAATAAGTATGTAAACAGTATTTGCTGAAGGGTGTAGAGAATCACCAATTAAACTTATATGTAATCTACTATTCTGTGTGATTGCTGATCTCACTCAGACTTTATTATAAAGGCCATTTTTGTTTTTGTGGTTACTTATTTTGTCTTTGGACATTTTTAAATTAAATATTTTATTGTTGTCCTATTACAGTTGTCCAATGTTTCCCCCTTTGCTCTCTTCCACTCAGCAACCCCCTACGCCTGTCAATCCCCACCCTGTTGTCCATGTCCATGGGTCATTCATACATGTTCCTTGACTAGTCCCTATCTCTTCTTTCTACCCTTGTCTCCCTCCCTCATCACCTCTGGTTGCTGTCAGTCTGTTCCTTGTTTCCATGCCTCTGGTATTATAAAGGTAATTTAAACACACAAAGTTAAACTACAAATTGTCAAGTGTCTTCCCTGCCAAACTTTTATTCTTTTAATGTTACTTAGGTACCTGTAAGGTAAAATGCCTATTTTGATTTTAGAAAAGATATAAAGAAGAAAGAAGATGACATTTTAATTGGCCTTAATGGGTAGATTTGGACATGTGGCCATGGTTGATAAGATTCCAAAAGATGAACACAACAAACAATGGAAGAGATAGAGGTAAGCAAAGTAATGGCTGGAGAAAGGTTAGCAGAGTTCAACTGCATGGCTAATTTTTGTTGAAGGCACACATAAGGAATATGTGAATGCTACCTGCTCAACATTGTTCATATCAAGCCAGTCTTGATCTTCAAGGTCTACTGCCATTTCTTCCAAATATACACAGCGGCTGGGGATACCATTCCCACTTTTCAAGCTTGGGTCACCTGGGAAATGGTTTTAATCTGGTAGGTTAAGGATAATGCTTCTGTTTTATACAGACAACTGATCTTGACAGCACTTCTCTTGAACTCCAAGTTTGACTCAGATAATATCAGAATGATCTTGACTTTATAGTAGTATCTAAAGATTTCAACCCTCCTGCCCCCTAGTTAAAGAGCATGGGCTTATTATAAACCTAACATCATGATATTTAAAGAGTAAATCCCAGCCCTGGCTGGTGTGGCTCAGTAAACTGAATGCCATCCAAGCCTGCAAGCCAAGGGGTAGCCAATTCAATTCCCAGTCTAGGGCATATACCAGGGTTGTGGGCCAGGTCCCCAGTAGGGGGCACACAAGAGGCAACCACACACTGATGTTTCTCCCTCCCCTCTCTAAAAATAAATAAATAAAAAACATCTTAAAATTTTTTGAACAAAAAGAGTAAATCCCAGACATTAGTACTAACTGTGGGTTTAACAACAGATAAGGCACAGAGGGAAAACACCATCTCATACATCTTGGAGTTTCCATCTAAATGTTTAGGTCACCCCTGAGAGGAAAATGGACTCGCTCCCAATTCCTCTTTAAGGTAGTAAAGGCAAGTAGCTATATAGCCCAGTCATTATCAAAATGGGAATGAAAGTTCCATCTGTGTCTAAGTACTGATTTAAGGTTATATCAAAGCTTCACTGAAATATAAGCCTTGTGTTCCGGGGAGTACAGTGGGTTTGTTTAGCTATTAGCTACAACAGATTTCTAAGAGCAGGTCCCTAGCCTAGGAAGGAAGGGCAGAGTAATGGATAGACTGGCTGCAAATCTGTAACTCACTATTGTCCAGAGTAATGAGGAAGATCCTTTGGATCATGTGATTGATGTTGAGTTGCTCACATATTTCCTGCTGTGAACGGAATGAGTGGCTAATCTCGGCCACAGAGTAATCAAATTCATCCAGGCTCTCTGACACACTATTTTCTGAGTCATCCGGGCTAGCTGGGAGTTCATCTGTCAAAAAATGTAAGCCATTAACAGTTATACTCCTCTTTTTTAAGAGAACCATGCATACTACCAAAAATAATAAATGTAACCAAGAGGAGGATAATTTTGCATGTGAAACAAGTTAATCAGCTGATTAATGAACATCTCAAATCAGGCAACATTAAAAAGTTGAGATATAACGTTATTTACTTTCAGGTGTGTAACATAAGACTCAATATCTGTATATATTGTAAAACAATCACCAAACTAAATCTAGTTAATATTCATTGCCATACATAGTTACAAAATTTTTTCCTGTGATAAGAGTTTTTAAGATCTACTCTATTAGCAACTTTCAAATATGGAATACCATATTATTAACTACAGTCAATGTGCTATACAAATATATCCCCATGGATTTATTTTGTATTTGAAAAGTCCTTACCTTTTGATCCCCTTTCAGCCATTACGCTCACCCCAACCCCCACCTGTTCTCTGTACCTATGAACTCTTTTTTCCCTTCTAAAATATTTTTATTTATTGATTTTAGAGAGAGGAAGGGGAGGGGAACAAAGGAAGTGGGAGAGAGAGAAAAAGATACACTGATTTGTTGTTCCAATTATTTATGCATTCATTGGTTACTTCTTCTTTGTGTCCCAACCAGGGATTGCATACAACATTGGCATATTGGGACAATGCTCTAACCAACTAAGCTACCCAGCCAGGACTTTTAAACATTTCACATATAAGTGAGATCATAAATATTTGTCTATCTGATTTATTTCACCTAACATAATACAAGGTCCATCCATGTTGTCACAAATGGTAAGATTTTCTTTTTTACAGCTGAATAGTATTCCATTGTATGTATAGATCACATTTTCTTTATCCGTACTTCTGCTGAAAGACACTTAGATTGTTTCCACCTCTTGGTGTTTGAAAATAATACTGCAATGAACATGAGGGTGCATGTATCTTTTTGAGTTAGTGTTTTTGTTTTCTTTGGATAAATACCCAGAAGAGGCATTGTTAGGTCATATGATAGTTCTATTTTTAATTTTTTGCGGTATCTTCAAACTGCTTCTGTAGTGGCTACATCAATCTGCATTCTCACCAACAGTGCAAGAGTTCCCTTTTCTTTACTCTTCACCAACATGTTATTTCTTGTCTTTTTGATAACAGCCATTCTAGCAGATATGAAGTGATATCACAGTTTTAATTTGCAGTTTAAATGTGATATCGACTGTCTTCTTCATGTATCTATTGGTCATCTGCACTATTCAGATCCTCTGCCTACTTTTTAATTATTTTTTGTTTTTTTTAGGCCCTTCCTCTACCCCTCCCCCATTTTTGTTTTTTAAAAAATATTTTATTGATTATGCTATTACAGATGTTTCATTGCCCCCCTTTATTCCCCTCTGCCCTGCACACCCCCTCCCACCCATGTTCCCCCCTTTAGTTCATGTCCATGTGTCGTAAGTTCTTTAGCTTCTACATTTCCCACACTACTCTTGCCCTCCCCCTATTTTCTACCTACCATCTATGCTACTTATTCTCTGCACCTTTTCCCCCCTCTCTCCCCTTCCCACTCCTCTGTTGATAACCCTCCATGTGATCTCCATTTCTGTGATTCTGTTCCTGTTCTAGTTGTTTGCTTAGTTTGCTTTTGTTTTGGGTGTGGTTGTTAATACTGTGAGTTTGCTGTCATTTTACTGTTCATATTTTTATCTTCTTTTTTTTAGATAAATCCCTTTAACATTCCATATAATAAGGGCTTGCTGATGATGAACTCCTTGAACTTGACCCTATCTGAGAAACACTTTATCTGCCCTTCCATTCTAAAGAAAAGCTTTGCTGGATAGAGCAATCTTGGGTGTTGGTCCTTGCCTTTCATGACTTGGAATACTTCTTTGCAGCCCCTTCTTGCCTGTAAGGTCTTTTTTAAGAAATCAGATGACAGTCTGATGGCAACTCCTTTGTAAATAACTGTCTCCTTTTCTCTTGCTGCTTCTAAGATTCTCTCCTTATTTTTCATCTTGGGTAATGTAATTATAATGTGCCTTGGTGTGTTCCTCCTTGGGTCCAACTTCTTTGGGACTCTCTGAGCTTCCTGGACTTCCTGGAAGTCTATTTCCTTTGCCAAATTGGGGAAGTTCTCCATTATTTTTTCAAATAAGTTTTCAATTTCTTGGTTGTCCTCTTCTCCTGTGGCACCCCTATAATTCGGATGTTGGAACATTTAAAAATGTCTAGTAAGCACTTACTTCAGTACTCACTACACTGAACAGTTTTGAGAACAAGAAGAAAACCTATAATTCTGAAGACTGTTTTGTAACTTGTTCATGGATTTCTTCAAAATGAATACTTTATAAATAAATCATATAATTATTCAGATTTGTTTGGTGATGTCTAAGCTTCAGAAGGTTTTTGAAGAAATCACACAGAAAAGCAATCACTTCAATGTAATTAAATGGTAGTTTTTAAAAAGTATCCTTGAACACAGTGGTTCCAAACTTTAGCATATATCAGAATTTCAGGGGATAAGGGGGGGTACTTTTTAAACTGTAGGTTGCTGGCCCACTTGCAGGGTTTCTGACAAGTTTCTAGGTGCTGGTGATAGTGTTGGTATGGGCATAACATTTTATGAGTCACTGTTGTAAGACATATTTTCCAGAATTCACACTACTAAGCAACGCCCATACACCTCTGCTTTTTGTAATAGTAAATAAATAAAAGAACATTTCATATATGGCCCCATCAAACTTTAAATTTGCAGGCTTTTGAAATGTCCTACTTAAATGGAATAAAACATGTAATTTACTCATCTTGGCTCATAATAATTCCCATGAATTCAAAAGACAGAACCATAGGATAGTCCAGTATTGGATAATCTGTGACTATATGAAAACATTTACTTACAAAATACACAGTAACTTTAGGGTACAGGGATCTTGCTCCTATCTCATCCATGCTTCTTCCCTTTAGAAAATCCAATACAAATCATGAAGAATGTGAACATGACCTATCATGAATGTATACATAAATGTCACAGTGTATTGTCATACTTCAGATTCAGATTCAGGAACCTCTTCATCAGGGCAGCAGTAATATTCCACAAAACATATTTGTCCATCTTCATTTCTAATCATATACTGTAATGAGAGGAACCCTCAGTTATCTATCCAAATAGACACCTTGCAAGACAGGACTAATACCTTTGTAGAGGGTTTCAGTAAAGAAATTTTGTATTTGTTGACCTGATTCTGACTACAATTAAATGATTTCATCAAATCAGAATTTTTGGGATAGTCAACATGGGAGCATTCTGCATTCCCAAAAGAAAGAAGATCACCTGAAATAAGACTTGTCAGGAGATGGTGATCTGCAGGACCTCACTAGTCACATCCTATTTGGAAAATGCTTCACCAAACACCCTTCTGACTGCAGAATAATTTTATTAATAATATTGGCACTGCAGAAATCAAAATCCAGAGTTTTCCTCAAGCTATTGAGTATTGATTTCATAGACTATCACGACTCCCTCTTCCAGAAATTGCATGAGGGGTAACCATAACCTGGGTAACATATTCGAAATGCAGTTAAAACTCTCTGGCTTAGGACTTGATCCAATAATAGATAAGCAGTCTAAAAGGAGAGTCAAATTAATTAAAAAGTGACAGGCTCTTCCTGAACTTTAAACTCTTAAAATATTCCAGCCTTAATAAAAGCATTTGCTTGCACACACTTTGCATTTTCCATTGTAACCCTGATTCCATTTTTAGTAGCAAACACATAGCATGTTCTTAGAAATAAATATCCTTCAGGACATTGGAGAGATTCCTAATGTTGTTGAAACTGGCCACCAAGCTGTGGTCACTCTTATCTGGGATCTGTTGGTTTAATGGGGGCATTGTCCACTGCGTAGTTGGCCTGGAAGGGTGCTCCTGGTGCCAACACCTGCTCCTGTGGACCAGGAAACACCTTTATGGTGGGGTCTGGATGTCTGAGAACCCTTCCCAGCCAGGTTACTGGGGAAGTGAGATGAAGCTCCTGGAGAAATGGGGAGGAAGTAGAACAGCCAGAACGCATTTGTTTTAATGATTCCAAACTGTATAGGAAAATATAATGTAAATATTCTCCTATAATAAACTAGTTCCCTATGGACAACCCCCTAACTTAGCAAAGATTTCCATATCTTTTTCCTATTCTGGTGCTAATGTTTATTTCTATGATTTTTAGTTTTTATAAAAAGTGAAATCACACCGCATATACTGCTGCTCAGCTTGCTTTTTAAACATAATCAGCACCAATACCTTTCTCTGTTAAGTCATTTATAGGCCTACCTCATTCTTTTCAACAGCTGCAGTGTATTGCATTGTATGTAAGCACTGTGATTTATGTAGCTACTTCTCAGCTGATAAACTTTTTGGTTGTTGCCAATTTTTCATGATTTTAAGCAGCACTGCAGAGACTATAACTTACTCTTTTTGTGCGCTTGTATGAGTATTTCTGTACACTAAATTTGTAAAAGTAGAATTGCTAGGTTTAAGAACTGGAACATTTAAAAGTTAACATATACTATCAAATTATCTCGATATACCATATTTTCAGACCATAAGACACACCTAGGTTTTAGAGGAAAATAGGGAAAAAATTTTGAAGCAAAAAATGTGGTAAAATATTTAATAACATAAGTAACATAATATTCATCTATGTAAATGTAAACAGAACTCAATAGCAGCATTAACAACCATTATTCCTCCCAAATTTGGGGGTGGGGAGTGAGTCTATAGTTCTCTAATTTACATGCTTACCAATATATGAGAAAACGCCTGTTTAAATCTTCACAAATATCGTGGGTAAAAAAATACTATCTAATTGTTTTTAATGAGCATTTCTACTTAGTGAGACTGACTTTTAAAATAATCTGATTATATATAAATTGCTTGTGCATACTTTTTTCTTTGTGATTTGTTACTTTTTTCTTATTGGTTAAATCGTTTTACTTTTATATAAAGCAACTTAAAAGACTGCCTCTCAGCATTGCACTTGTGGTAAATGAGTATAAAAGTAGTATTGTCACTAAAAGCCACACATAGGTCTGTATATGCTTTTTGCTATGGGCAAACTGGTTATTTGGAAAGTGTAGGCAAAACTCTCAGAAGAGTTGCTTCAGTGTGGTGAATTTAGTAAAAGGGAAGCTCAATATATGAGGTCCAAAGTTTTGGCAGCATACTAACTGCTGGTGGAAAAGAAAACAGGTTAGACATCGTGGCATGATAAACTCAGTGTAAACAAACTAAGATGATGAGATGCCAAAATAGTAACAGAAGGGCATGTACCTGATTTGTCCCCACTGCCTAGTGCTTACAATGCTCCCAACTCTAGCCAGCCTTATATCCATTTGCAGTCAGAAGGACAAGTGTTCTGTCACTCTACTCATATACTGTTAAGTTCTGTGAACTCCAAGAGTGATAGGAGCTAAGAACCTCCTTAGCAAAATTTCCCTCAACCACATACTCATAAATTTCATTTTCTCGTTTCCTTATTTTTCCTATCCCTTGTTCTCCTTTCTCACCTATAATCTCCTAATCCAAGGTTTCTCTTTCTGAGACAGTATCCTAGAAATCTGGGAGAGGTTTCAGAGACTGAGACCCAGACCTGGCTCTGTCACATTACAAGTCAGTGTTAATGGCCCTGGCTGGTGTAGCTCAGTGGATTGAGCACGGGCCTGTGAAGCAAAGGGTCGCTGGTTCAATTCCTAGTCAGGGCACATGCCTGGGTTGCAAGCCAGTTCCCAGCAGGGGACACATGAGAGGCAACCACACACTGATGTTTCTCTCCCACTCTTTCTCCTTCCCTTCCCCTCTCTCTTTAAAAAAAGAAAAAAGTCAGCAGTTAAGACACACTGCTGCCCTGACTGGTGTGGCTCAGTGGGTTGGGCATTGTCCAGCAAACTGAAGGGTTGCCAGCACAGGTCTGGATTATAGGCCAGGTCCCTGGTTGGGGGTGTGCAAGAAGCCAGCAATCAATGTTCCTCTCCTCTCTTTCTTCCTCCTCTCTCCTTTCTCTACAAATAAATAAATAAAAAACTAAAAAAAACCCAAAAAGACACACTGCCTGTTGTTTCTCTCCTGGTCTCCCTGGAAGCATGTGGTTATAAATACACCCCCAGAAAGTCAGCATTATATTTACTTCTCCCTTGCTTCAACCATCACCCTGTCTACAACTCATCTGTCTTGCCCTTACCTCCTTTGTATTCAATCCTAAACAAAGAGCAAGGTCAAAACTCAGCTACATATCTGAACACTTTCAAAAGAAACTAAATAAAGGGAAAATATAAACATTTCTTCTTTCCTAAAAAGAAAAATACTATTATTCTTTTTTGCAGGTAATAAAAGGGGAACAATGTCTGGCTTGAAGAACTGTAAATACCCTCTGAAGACTAGTAAGTTTGAGAAACATCATCCTAATTCTTCTAGTCTATATGTCTTCTCACAATAGGAAACTAGGCTTGATCTTAATTTTGGTCCCAGATGAGGAAAACCATTTTTCTGATCAGTGAGATATTATTGTGATTTTTTTCACATTTAGGCTAGGGATCCTATTTTTTTGGAAGTCTGTTGTAATAGCAGTAAGCTATGATAGTGGCCACTCCATGGAGTGGAAGCATTTCACTTGAGATAGACTCTGTAGTACTGGGCTTGAGAAAAGATCTAATTTATTTGTCTACAGGACAAGAAACTTTTATAATTTTTCCTTATACACATCTGTTTTCTATAGTTGCATGTGACTTGCTTTCCATACCTCTGCCTGCAACTTCAGTTTCCTATGTTAAAAAAAGATTTATTTAACTATATTTTACTAGGTAATTTAAAAAATAAACCAGCTTGACAGACTGGGGTAACAACCCTGTTACTACAGAACCATCTGTTATCCGGTCTCTTTTTATGCAGAGGGAGGACAGAGACTCCAAAAGACTCCAAAACAAAATAAAATAAACAACAAAAGTGATCAATCACCCACTCCCACTTCTGCCCTAAACAAAAAGAAGTTCTGCTTCAAACTTAAATTCCAATTATAATTAAGGACCCAAAGAATATTTAATTTGGGAGGACCCATTCTAGGTCATCTCATCTGCTGCTATTTGCTCCTCCACATACCAGATTGCTGCTTCAGCTGCTCCTTTTGGATTGCTGCAAAATGCTTGGCATCAGCGAGGGAGCCAAAAAGAGCAGCAAAGGGGTTACTTGAGATGTTGTTGTTATTCTCCTGGTCTGTCATTTCACTTTAAAGTGTCCTCCATCCAGACCTGGGGGAACGGCTATAGAAAGGACAGGTATTAGACACAGAAGGTCAGATAACCAATAGTTGTAACATACCCATAGTTGTTTCTTTTTCCATTTCTCAAATATATCGTGTTTTTAAAAGTTTTGGTAAGACTTTAACATTCCTATTCCAAGATTTAAGACATTCTGGCAAAACGGTTACAAACTTACCAACTGGAGGAATTGGCCTGCTTTGGGGCTGGCTAAGACAAAAATGCTTACAAAGTGTTCAGCTGGAATTAATTTATCTGTTGACATGTTTCTATTTGTTATACCTTTAAAAATAGGTTAAGTAGGAAGAAAAAAAGGGGGAACTCACCTACTAATTGTAACAACGTGTCACTTAAAACTAATACAGCAAGCTACAGATTTCCCATAAATTTGTAGGCTGGCCAACTAGTTCTCATTTACCATGAACACAAGGTGGCATTTGCTCAGGCTTCCATGACTATTGGAGCTAGGAATTTCTCAGCTACATATAAAGTAAATGTAAGCCTGTATCTGAGACATGGATTGACAAATCAGACAGAAACCAGATTAGCAGCATGTTGTGGGAGACCCGCCCCCACAGACACACACACAGTCTGTCCAGAAAAAGTCCAGCCATTGTTAATATAACAAGAATGGTTTGTGCACATCGATGTAACCTGGTAGCCAAGGAGAGTGGACTGGAATGCACATGCATGAATAATGGACAACTTCACTGTACTAGTCAGTGAGGGCAGTAGATTCCTTGAAGTGAGCATCCTTTCCTTAAAAGGCCAGTAGATTCCTTGAAGTGAGTGATGTGGCTATCAAAATGAGTGAGATAGCAGAGCAATGAATCTGCATCAAATTTTGCATTAAGCTTGAATATTCCTCTGCAGAAACTATTCAGATGATTCAGGAGGCTGTAGCTATGGGCAACTGGTGATTGGCAGCTTCTTTAGGACAACTTGCCCGCTCATGCATTGCATCTCATGCAGAGTTTTTTGGTGAAACATCAAATCACCCAGGTGACTCAGCCCCTCCAACAGCCCACATTTGGTGCCTTGCAACTTCTGGCTTTTTCCAAAACTAAAATCACCCTTGAAAGGGAAGAGATTTCAGACTATTGATGAGATTCAGGAAAATATGATGACGCAGCTGATGACAACTGGGAGAACTATGTGAGGTCCCAAGGTGCCTACTCTGAAGGGGACTGAGGCATCATTATCCTATGTACAATGTTTCTTATATTTTCTTCAGTAAATGTTTCTATTTTTCATATAACATGGCTGGATACTTTCTGGGGGGATATATACATAAAAATAAAATCTATCTCTGCTCCTAGGCTTACAACTACTGATATTTCTTCCACTAAAAACTAAATGATCTGCCCTGGCTGGTGTGGCTCAGTACACTGAGTACCGACATACAACTGAAAGGTCGCTGGTTCAATTCCCAGCAAGGGCGCATACCTGGGTTGTGGGCCAGGTTCACAGTTGGGGGTGTGCGAGAGGCAAGCAATCTATGTTTCTCTTGTATACTGATGTTTCTCTCCCTTTCTCCCTTCCTTCCCCTTTCTCTAAAAATAAATAAATAAAATCTTTAAAAAAACCCTAAATGACCTTTGATTACTTGTATATTTAACTTTCATTGTTTATCTGATTTCTTACAATACTGAAAAAACACAAATTCCTAATGTGTAATATGAAATAGATATATACCTCAAGGGTTTTTAGTGGAGCTGACTGAACCTGTATTTGCACTCTTTTGATTACACGTCCTCATTCAAGTGCAAAGGGGACATAGAAGCATAATGGGATGAGCAGAGCTCCCTGGAAGTCTTTCTCCCATTTCTGAAATTTTAAGGCCACAGCATAGAAATACAACCCTGAAAAGCATGTGAAGAGACAAAGGGTATGAATATTCTGCTTACAAGGATGTTGAACTGCTATAAGAACAGAGGCCTTAGCAGAGGTGAGGATAGGGTTATAAGGAAAGGAGAAAAAAGAACATTTGGTCTACCTTTAATTTATTAAGGTAAAACTCCTTACTGAATCATATTAACATAAACTAATGAAAATCAGAAAAGTTACCATTATTTTTTGGAGAAATAGAGACTATAAAACTTCTTGACAATTCTGCCCTGGCTGGTGTGGCTCAATGGATTGAGTGGTGGCCTGTGAACCAATGGGTCCCAGGTTTGATTTCCTGTCAGGGCACACACGTGAGTTACAGGCCAGGTGCCTAGTAAGGAGTGAGAAAGAGGCAACCACACACTGATATTTATATTCCTCTCTTTCTCCTTCAATTCACCCTCTGTAAAAATAAATAAATAGAATCTTTAAAAAAATTCTTGACAATTCTGAGGCATCTCCACCAGTTGTTTCATGTTCCTCTGTCATGTTTTCTGAATAAGAGCTAAAGGCTAATTAGCTGTAATGACTTAGGCAGATAGTCTAGTCTACTTTCAGCATGGTGCTAGCTGTCAGATGAGGCTATACTTTATTTTTTGTTATGTATAATTTAGTTGAGTTTAATAATGCAAAAAATTAGCATTTTTAGTGTTAAAATTAACAACAATCTTTAGAGGCCTTTTCCCCCTCTTAATCACTGCATAAACTTAATTATTAACCCTAATTTATGTAGAGGACAAGAATTGTCTGTTATCTATCACCCTACTTCTATCCTAAAGTACTCTGATGTCTAGAGGAATGTAAAAAGCACAGTGAGCTCTTGTTACTTTCTGTCTCTAAAACACCATCCTTATTTTTCAACATAATACCCACATTATTCTCTTGGGGATCCAATCCATTCTCAGTCCACACACTTAAAGGAGGTGATCTCCCTTTTGATCCAGTGATCCTACAGCTGTGATTATAGCCTAAGAATCCTGAAATTCAAAAGAACTTATGCAGACCCAATGTTCATAGCAGCATTATTTATAATAGCCAAGTGCTAGAAACAACCTAAGTGCCCATTAGTAAACGAGTGGATCAAAAAACTATGGTACATTTACATGATGGAATACTATGCAGCAGAAAGAAGGAACTCCTACCCTTTGTGACAGCATGGATAGATTTGGAGAGCATTATGCTAAGTGAAATAAGCCAGGTGGTGAAAGACAAATACCATGATCTCACTTATAAGTGGAACCTAATGAACGAAACAAATGAGCAAAATAGAACCAGAGACATGGAAATAAGAAACAAACTGACAGTGATCGGAGGGCAGGGGGGAGAGAGAAAGAAGGGGTACAGAGGGAAAGGAGGGGTCTAGTCAAGGAACATGTATAAAGGACCATGGTAATGGACAACAGGATGGGGAGTAAGAGAGCAGGGTGGGCGGGGTGGGTGGCAGGGCAGGGAAGAGCAATGGGAAAAATTGGAGCAACTGTAATTGGACAATAATAAAAAAATAAAAAATAATAAAAGGAGATGACCTCACCCACTAACTTCAGGAATGGGCATATGAATCTGGCCTGACCAACAAGAATACAGCATTCTCTGGCCAAAGTGACTGATTCAGGAGTGGGCATAAGACCCTAGCAAGGCCTATGAGATTCAATAAACATTTGCTTCAGGCCTCTGTCTGAACAGGGTCCTCTTTTTTCCTGCTTAAGTTGTTAGGCTGGTTAAGACATAAACATGGAGTTGCCATCTTTCCACTAACTAGAAATGGCCTAGTCTAAAACTAAGCCAACATATAGGAAAACAGATATGACAGATGGAAAGAGTTCTTTCAGTTATAAAAGCCAATAGATTCCCCTTCAAAACACAACTGAGAAGAGTTCAGTTTAGTACAAAGGAGATACATCACTAGTACCATCCACACAGAAAGAAGTATAGTTGACCCTTAAAGAACATGGGGTTGGGGAACCAATCCTCCATGCAGTGGAAAACTCACTTATAACTTCTGACTCTGCCAAAACTTAACTAATAGTTTACTGTTGACCAGAAGCCATACAAAGGACATAATAGTCAATTAACATGTATTTTGTATGTGTTTTGTACTACTTACTGTATTCTTATAATAAAGCTAGAGAATATTAAAAAATAGTAAGAAAGAAAATACATTTACAGTACTGTACATATTTATTGAAAAAACTCTGCATTTAATTGGTCCAGCACAGTTCAAATCCATGTTGTTTAAGGGTCAACTATGAAAGTAATACAGAACATATGACAAATAGGCTCATAAGAATATCAAGAGAGAGGAAGGATAAATGGCATTACTTCTTTTTTGAATACTATACTGGCTCATATGGAGCTAGCTTCCCATTACACTTATCTATATTTTGAATAGGATTTATAACTTTATACATTGTATTCCTAATGCAGATCTACTGTGCTAGAATGTGAGCAACTGGAATACAGGTTCATATCTGATTACTTTTTCTCCTGTCTGACATTATATATAATAATCACGGTCATAAATAAATATTTATTGAATGATTCAGTCTTACATGTAATTACTCCTGACCTCATAACAGCAGCACCATGAACCGACTTCAAGGTAAAGGTTTTACTATTTGTCTTGGATTGCAGTTGGAAGGTCAAGCCAGACACATGTCTCTATGGTATCTCAGCATATACAGAATAGAGAATGGAAACACATCTGCTGTTATCTCTGCTGTATGTCTTTTTGAAAAACAAAAAGGTTTTTGCCTAACTCACTAACCTCATCTTTTTCATATGGACTTCAAAATTGTGCAAAATCTATTTTCATGGAGAAAGGGCTAACATCATATAACTACTTATAGAAAAGTTTTACAGGAAAAGGGAAGATTAATTATTTGATGAGAACCTTTGTGGAGATGCCAGTCTAGATGTTCAATGGCCTCACAAATGTAAAATGAGTACATAGACACCCACTCTGAAAGGCTGGATAAAATGGGACCTTGATATTTTGTTTTAAATTCAACATCACTGGTAATTTATAGTCTGCTATTTTTTAAAGATTTTATTTATTTATCTTTAGAGGGGAAGGGAAAGAGAGGGAGAGAAATATCAATGTATGGTTGCCTCTCATGAGTCCCCTTGCTGGGAAATGGCCTGCAACCCAGGCATGTGCCCTGACTGGGAATTGAACCGCAATCCTCTGGTTTGCAGGCCCACACTCAATCCACTGAGTTACACCAGCCAGGGCCATAGTCTGCTATTTTCAATTGCCATACAAAGATATAGAACTATCCTATTGTTAGCCTTTGCAATAGTACAATCATTAATCTTTAGAGCTTTTGGATTTGATTCTTTTTTAATGTTGTCCTTAAACATGTTTCACTTTGATAACTCACGGCAAAGGTCTGCACCTCTTAATAGCTGTCTACCTCCACCCTACAAAATACTCTCACAATCCCCTAATTCAACCTTTGGTTTAAAAACAGTACTGTTAATCTCCTAAGGGACATTATTATTCTTAAAGAGGCGAGTATACAAATGTTTCAACATCAGACTTGGTATTGCTTTTAAACAAATACTTGGGAGTACTTTGTAAAACTGGGATTGTCAAAATCAGACTGTATTAAATCATCATCTGTAAGGGTCCCATCCTGATGAGAGATACATACATCAAACAAACAAAAAAAGAATTAAAAATGTTTTCATTGTTGTATGTTCCAACAATGAAATCCTTTTAGGGCCCTCTATGTGTCAATAGATCCTTCCAACACATCAGTAACCTAGGATAGAATCTGTCAAAAAGCAGACAGTATTCTTTCCTGGGTCCCATTTTATCTCAGGAGGGCTCCCATGTGAGGCCAAAACAGTCCATGACAGAGAGACTAAACACATCCTTGCTTGGGGAGTGAAAAACTGATCCCAAAGACAACATCCATCAAATATAAGCGTCTTCTGAACCTAATTGCTGAGGTAGCATAAAGCAGAGTGCCAGCTAAATTTTGAGTGGTGAAGTGATCACTTATGAAATGTCAATACCATGCCATATGTTTTCAGCTCTTTTGTGTACTACGACTCCTGTTTACTGTTATCTTCTCTGGCATCTGGCTATCTGTTGTCCACTCTTAATATTTTTAGTCCTCCAGGTTCCATAAGGGCTTGGCGGCAAGACGGGAGACCCACCCACCCACCCGGTGCACGATCTACAGAAAAGAAGTCACAGATAAGCCAAGGCCAGCAGTATTCCGGCCTCTTCCAGGAGAGGAATGGCAGAGTGGGAGAGACGCCAGACCTGGGGTTCGTCAGGAGTTCCCAAGTCAGACAGGGTCGAAGTTCATGAAAGAGGGTCAGTGGTCAGGAAAGCACAGGACGAGGAATTTGGAGGAGATAAGAATGAAGAGGCCTGAACTGGCGTTCGACTAAGAGAGAAAAACCTCATGGCGGACTCGACGATCCCCTCCCCTCAAGCTATTTCCTTTCTTACCAGAGCCTGAAGGGCCAGCAGCGACGATTCACCACAGTCTCACTGGCCAGAGTTCCCACTTCCGAGTCTGCCAGGCAACCGGAGCTTACATCATGACTAGGCGCCTGGACCTGGAGAATCCCATCCGCGCGCCGGAAACAGGGTGTGCCGCCCAACTCTCGGAACTGGACCTCAAACACGCCCACGGCGCAGGCGCCCCCTGGCCGGGCGGGGCGGGGCGCGGCGCGGCGCGGTGGGCGGTTGTGGCTGGAGGTGGCTGTGGGGTCTTGTTGGTCCACAGTTCCGGGCGTTTGGAACTTAGTGAAATGTGAGGTGCGTTCCTGGCAACAGTGTACGGTCAACATATATGACTTCGTGGTCCCTGGCACTGCCACAGTTTTTCTGGGCTTCTGCTTTCTAATTTTCCTACCGTCGTATGCCTTTTGAACAAACAAAAGAGTAACATTTTGTTACTCTTCACAAATTATTATTATCTGTGAAGTAGCAACAATAGCAATAACAGGAATAACAATAACTGAAAAATTTGAGCTCTTATTGGTTGCCAGGCAGTATGGTAAAATGTGCCATTTAAAAAAATTTTTAATTATTATTTTTCAATTTCAGTTGACATACACCCTATTAGTTTTAGGTGACTAGACAACATAGTGATTAGACATTTATGTACCTTATGAAATGATCACCCCTATGACACCATACATAGTTGTGACAACAGTATTGACCATATTCCCTATCCTGTACTATACATTCCTGTGACTTTTTATAACTGCAAATTTGTGCTTCTTAATCCTGTTCCCTTTTTCACTGACTCTCCCAACCCTCCTCCCATTTGGTAACTATCAATTTGTTCTCTGTATGTATGAGTTTCTTTCTGCTGTGTTTGTTCATTTATTTGTTTTTATTGATTTTGAAAGGGGGGAGAGAGAGAAAGAGAAACATGGACTTGTTGCTTCACCCACTCACACATTCACTTGTATGTGCCCTGACTGGGTATGGAACCTGAAACCACAAGGTTGGGTTAGGAGATGATGCTCTAACCAACTGAACTGCCCTGCCAGAGCTTTTGTCCACTTATAAAATAGGCTATGTTTGATTGGATTTCAGTTGTCTTATCTGTAAAGTGGAGATAATAACACAACCTACAAGGTTACTTTGAGATACACAAAAGGGAATGGAAGATGAATATTTTTCAAGAGTTAAAAGTACTTTGCAAATACAAAGACAATTCTTAGAATGAGAGAAAATATTTGTAAATCATGTATAGTGGTCCCCCTTATCAACAGCAGGACTCATTGCAAGACTCCCAGTGGATAGTACCAAACCCTATATATACTGTTTTTTTCCTCTACATACATAACTAAGAGTTTAACAATAATAGCTAATAATAAAATAGAACAATTATCATAATATGCTGTAATTAAAATGATGTGAATGTGTTGTCTTTCAACATATCTTGTACTGCACTCACTTTTTCACTTAAAGGAAGCACTGTATGGCTTCTCTTTGGCATATCTGAATTGCAAGCATCACTATTCTTGTGCTTTGGGAACAGTATTAAGTCCCCAAATGAGTGTTACTTAAACACAAGCACTGTGATACCAAGAGTCCATTTTATACCTGAGATGGCTACTAAGTGGCTAATGGTGGGGAACTTTTACAACATGGATACACTGGACAGAGGGATGATTCACATCTGGGCAGGGTGGAGCAAGAAGAAGCTGGATAGAACATGATGGTATGAGATTTTATTATGCTATTCAGAACAGCATGCAGTTTAAAACTTATGAATTGTTTATTTTTTGAAGTTTCCATTTAATATTTTTGGACCACAGCTGATCATATGTAACTGAAATTGCAAAAAGCAAAACTGTGAATAAGGGAGACTATGATATCTGATAAAGGATTAATATCTGAAATACATACACCTATAACTCAACAAAAAGTCAAACAGTATAAAAAATGGAACACGTGTTTCTAAGGATGTGGAGAGGTAGGAACCTTTGTGCATTGATGATGGGTATGTAAAATAGCATAGCACTTTGGAAAAACTATGGTGGTTCCATAAAAAGTCAAATATAGAATTACCATGTGATACAGTAATTCCACTTCTGGGTATATACCCAAAGAATTGAAAGCAGGGACTCAAATAGATACTTGTACACCAGTATTCATACTAACATTATTCATAATAGCCACAAGGTGGAAACAACCTAAAATGTCCTTCAACAGGTGAGTGGATAAACAAAATGTGGTATGTACATACATTTGACTATTATTTGGCCTTTAAAAGCCTGAGATTCTGATACGTGCTACAACATGGATGAACCTTAAAAACGTTATACTAAGTGAAAGATGCCAGGCAAAAAGGAACAAATATTGTATGATTCCATTTACATGTGGTACCTAGAAAAAACAAATCACAAGTCAGAAAAGTAGAACAGAGGTTACTAGGGGCTGGGGGAAGTGGGTTATTGTTTAATGGGTAAGGAATTTAGGATAATGAAAAAGTTCTGGAAGTGGATATGGTGGTAGTTGCCCAATGTTGTGAGTGTACTTAATGCCGCTGAATAGTATACTTAAAATGGTAAATTATATGTTGTGTATATATTTTAAAGATTTTTAATTTATTTATTTCTCTGGAGAGAGGGGAGGGGAGGGAGAAAGAGAGGGAGAGAAACATCAATGTGTGGTTGCCTCTTACACGCCCCTTACTGAGGACCTGGCCCAAAACCCAGGCACGTGCCCTGACTGGAAATTGAACCAGTAACCCTTTGTTTTGCAGTCTGGTGCTCAATCCACTGAGCCACACCAGCCAGGGCATGTTGTGTACATTTTAACACACACAGTGCTGTGTAATCTTGCTGGACCTATCTTGTTCCAGCACTGTTCTAGTTCCTGAAGACACAGTAGTGAAAAAACACATTTTTTTCTTTTTTTAAAACTTTTTTATTGATTATGCCATTACATTTGTTCTATTCCCCCCCTCCGTTCCCCTCCACCCTGCATACCCCTCCCCCACCATTTCCCCCTTTAGTTCATGAACACGTGTCTCAAATTCTTTAGATTCTGTATTTCCCCTACTATTCTTACCCTCCCCCCTATTTTCTATCTACTGTCTATGCTACTTATTTTCTGTACCTTCTCCCCCCTTCTCCTCCCACTTCCCTGTTGCTAACCCTCCATGTGATCTTCATTTCTATGGTTCTGCTCCTGATCTAGCTGTCCTCTTAGTTTGCTTTTGTTTTAGGTGTGGTTCTTAATAACTGTGAGTTTGCTGTCCTTTCACTGTTCATCTTTTTTTTTAATCTTCTTTTTCTTAGGTAAGTCCCTTTAACATTTCATATAATAAGGGCTTGGTGATGATGAACTCCTTGAATTTGGTCTTATCTGAGAAGCACTGTATCTGTCCTTCCGTTCTAAATGAAAACTTTGCTGGATAGAGCAATCTTGGATGTAGGTCTTTGGTTTTCATGACTTGGAATACCTCTTTCCAGCCCCCTCTTGCCTGTAAGTTCTCTTTTGAGAAATCAGCTGACAGTGTGATGGGAACTCCTTTGTAGGTGACTGTCCCCTTATCTCTTGCTGCTTCTAGGAGTCTCTCCTTCATTTTAATCTTGGCTAATGTAATGATGATGTGCCTTGGTGTGTTTCTTCTTGGGTCCAACTTCTTTGGGACTCTCTGAGCTTCCTGGATTTTCTGGAAGTCTATTTCATTTTCCAGAATGGGGAAGTTCTCTTTTATTATTTGTTCAAATAAGGTTTCCACTTGTGACTCTTCCCCTTCTGGTACCCCTATAATTCGAATGTTGGAACATTAAAAGATGTCCTGGAGGTTCCTAAGCTTCTCTTCATTTTTTTGAATTCTTGTTTCTTCATTCTTTTCTGTTTGATCATTTTTTTCTTCCTTCTGGTCCACTCCATTGATTTGAGTCCCAGTCTCCTTTCCATTACTATTGGTTTCCTTTGCATTACCATTCATTTCAATTAGTTTAGCTTCCATATGTTTCTCTAATTTGTGACTAAAATCAACCAGTTCTGTGAGGATCCTGATAACCAGTGTTTTGAACTGTGCATCTGAAAGACTGGCTATTTCTTCATCGCTTAGATCGATTGGCTCTGGGGCTCTGAGTTGTTCTTGAGCCATTTTTGGTCTGTTCGGGCCGTTAAGTAAGCCGAGCGAAGCCTTAGTTGTTTACCAGGACGGGGCCACCGAAGTCCCTGGTTTGTGATGCTGTGTGTGGGGGCGTGGTCAGAGAGGGAGCTGTGGTGGTCCTCTCAGCTAGCCCTGTCCGTCCAGTCACATCATTCGCCCCGGGGCCTGTTTATCTGATCAGAATTGTGCAAGCCTGCTGCCCGGAGCCTGCTCCCCTCTTCACTGGTTTATCTGCACGCAGATGCGGGACCGACTACAGACAGCCCACCGCGCCTCTTCCCTGTGTGCTCCCACAGCTAGCCCTCGATCTGTGCCTTCGGCTGCTTGTGCACCACCCGTTCGGGGATTTTTTTTTTTTTTGCCAACCTGCTCCGCTGCTGGCTTCGTTCCTCTTACTGGTTTAGCTGAGCATTTCATTGTCTTTGGACTCTGTATTGTTGATTTTCTGTGTGGCTTGGTTGTGTTTATTATTGTTAAAAATAGTTGTTCCTAGATTTGGTTGTGCACGGAAGCAAGGTGGTTCCACCTATACTTCCATCTTGGCGGAAGTCCTCCAATTTTTTTTCTTTATGGAGTTTACAATCTGGTAAGAGTGGAGTGGTAACATAGCATTTAAAACAGTCTCAGGGATGTAAAACACAGGACAGAAAACACAGTCAATAATATTGTAATAACTATGTATATTGTCAGGTGTATACTAGAATTACTGAGGGGATCACTTTCTATGTTATGCAAATGTCTAACCAGTATTATACACCTGAAAGTAATATAAGAGAATATTGACTGTTAACAGTAATTGAAAAATAAAGTCAATTTACACTCAAGTCAATTTTACACTAAAATCAATGAGCACAGATAGATTATTCAAAAAATAGTTATGGAATAACTGAAAAACTGTGTTTTAAAGACCTTTACCCTAAAATTAATTAAAGATTAATCAAAGATTTAAATGTATAATACAAAACCATTAA